TTGAATCTTGTCCAACAGTTCTGTCTCCTTTACAACTGCAACGAATGAATACTGTGTACAAAGTCTAAATGTTTTTGGCGTCGACATGGCTAAAGGACTTACATACTGACCGTAGGATTCTAAAACCTTTGCAGGCTATCGCATGGCAGTGTATGGAAGTTTCATGGTCTTGGTTAACGATGACTCCTAAGTCGTTATGTATCTGGATATCAGGTAACACAATTATTTCCATTGTGTATATTTAGATACCTTGTAACGATTTATCGATAAATGCCGAATTTGGGACCATTCAGAAACTATCCTTATATCACTTTAAAGTTCTAATCCATAAACTTAATTTTTTATTGATCTCCATATATCGGCTTTTTCTGCATACAGCTAGACCGATGATGATAATAGACTAAGAAGGTCATTTACGCACTGGGGCAAAAACACTCGGCGAAACGGTGCCCTGAGGTACTCCACTAAGCACAGTTTAGTAACTAGACAACTTTGAGTTCACTCGCACAGTATGTTGGCGCCAAAATGAGAGGTCATTTACTCACATTAATAAATTGTCAGCCAGCATGAAAGTCAGCATTTTCAACAGTACCTTTACAACACTACTAAGATCGAACCTGAAAATTTGACAAATACCACAACCGTCACTTAAGAAGTAAATACATTTATGATAATGTAACTACTCAGCATACTATGAACTCAGTGGTCAGACAATTACAGCAACCGATAATTCTGTCATTGAATAAACCATTTCACAGTTGAAGAGTTAAATACGAAAAGAAATTGCATTTGGATAAAAGTCAATTCACTAGACCGCAGCATAAGACAGGTCATAATTTCAATTTTTCAAGTTGAAGTGAAATGCGAATGACAAAACTGCAAATGGCTTCGAGTCAGATGTCAACTAATCAACAGTACATTGTTACAATGAAAAAGTAGAGCTGACGACAGCGTTGATAGAAAATTACTTATTGATGTTCTGCAAAGGGTAAGAAGTGTACGTAGACATGGATTACAGCTGATAAAACTTGAAAAATCACAGTAACAGAAAGACTTTCAAATATTTACACAGGTTGTGTCAGTCAGGTGTTTAATAAAAAGTTAAGATCATGGTTCAGTGATTTTTGCCGGATATGGAACTTAACGCGGAATACAAGCACCATTCATTCACCTGTGTCTGTCTCATCCCGATCACAGTTAAATGGACTATATCCATCACAAAGAAAGTTGTGATACATACTTCTTGAAAGACTGTGGTGTTAAAACACTACATAACTTGAGTTAAGATAACGTGAACAGGTTGAGTTGTCTCGGTTTGTCCTCATAAGATAAGCTAGAGATACATTCGCCATTTTTGCCCCTAACCGTCGAAGTCGATCTAGCATATCCGCCTCATACTTGAAGCAAGAACTGTCTACTTGAATCCCATATCCCAAATTCCGTCTCAATAAAGTCAAGAATGATACCCCAGACATTTTGTCCAAGTAATGAAATGACTTATGAAAAGCCCGTAAGACCCTGAAGCATTTTGCAATGGCAACCAACCTTGTAGTTACTAGTAGTTTCGATGCTTTTGCTTATTGTGACTCCTAAATCCATGTTGTTCAATCGACAGACTAATCAGACATTATAAGTTTTTCCTAGAACCAAGTTGATCGCTGGATGTAAGGTAGTGCACTTGTAACAGCTTAGGTTGGTTGGTTAAAAGTTCACCTCAAACAACTAAGCATATGTCAAAACAGTAGAGTTCAAGTATTCATTCATTTCCTTATTTTGTATAGGCGTTATATTTCCTATTATTTTATATGGAATGTCTGTCTGAACAGGTAATCCCACGCTCCACTGTGACTGCGCGAAGATCTAAATAAGGACCTATTCATTACTAGTCTGGATTCTTTTATCAATAGCACGAAAGTTACGTAAAGGCACGAAACACTTTCATGTCGATTGTTACTAACTAATGCTTTATTTATCGCATTATAGCCCCCAAATATTTTAGTACGGCCGAGAGTAGGGAGAGTCGGCTCTGCCTCTCTAAATGCCCTCACACGGCCGCGTGCATACAACCACTGCCAGGGAAGTCCTGCTCACCACCTTCTTGTGGAGGGGGTATTGTTTACGAAATTGATAAGACGAAAAGCGAATATCCAGTGTCTTAACTTGGTTGGTGGATATGGAGGATCCACCTAGGGGAGTTGAAAAACCCTTATTCCAAACCGATGGTACATATGGGCTCCAGTATCCCGAGGGAACAAATGGCACACGAACCAATCGTTGGTCAGCAGCTACCATGGGACTTCATCTCCTTACGATGCTCTACTGCCTTGTGGATCAGACCCATAGGTCGAAGGCTCAGGGTGTGGCCCCCTAAGAAAACCACCTGCTTCGGTCTGAGCACCCGAGTAGTGTTCCAGCCCTCACACAAATGGAATGGTGTATGTGGCACATATCTATTTGGTGCTTTCTTGCACCTATGTGTTTAAATAATAATAATATCGCTTCATAAAACGAACTGATTATTGAGTCTCCATTCTCTTATCAAATTGGTCTGCCGTTACGACAGGTTCGACATTATTGCTAGATGCTCGACAGTTACACCACAAAGCCTTCATAATCCTTGGATAAATACTATCAGTAGCACTGAACGCATCTGGTTTGATGTGTTGAAGTATTAGTAAGATACTTCCTTTCTCAATAAGTGCGAGGATCCATAGACCAACTGCCTTCGTTACGATTAATTGTTAGACTTTCGCTTTCGTCGGCAGAAAACACTTCTGAAATATTCTGATAAAGCTTTAGGTTTCGCAACATCATTTGTTGTAAGAAAGTTGGCGGAATCCCATCTCTTCCCAGTTCACCTCTTCACATGTGAAGATAACCTTTTCGGACTATTTTCATATGCCCTAACCAATTGTCTTACATATGAATATCTAGATTTACCTATCAAAGCTTTGCAATCATTCCTAGTCTTACAGTGAATGGATCTGTAGTGTTCAGAGCCACTTCACCTTTGTGTGGGCTAAAATTTCTATTACAGATTGTTCTACACTTTTATCGAAATAAGTTAGCATTTCCTAGACTTTTGTCAATCATGGAAATTTTCGTGGAGTATTTTGATAGATTATTCTGATAAGACCTCACTTCATCAGTCTTTTGATTAAGTGTTAGTTTTTGCTCGTAATGATTATCAGAGTACAGTTGATTTTGTACTCATACTTTTGTTTGACATTGGTATGTTCTGTTATTTGACGCATGAATATCTAGATTTCACTATCAAAGGTGTGCAAGCATTCCTAATTATACAATGAATGCGTGTGTACTGTTCTAGGTCTGTGGAGTATAACGGCTGTATTTTATGCTTCTTTCAATGTGTTTCTTCGCCTTTTTATATACTCATGACGGACAGTTAGTCGGTCTGTGTTTTACTACACTCGTCATTTAAACTATGTAACTAAGTTAAGATTTTCTATAAATACACACCATGATTCTTCAGCTGATGAGCTAGTGTTTTTGACCACTCTGTTGTCGCAGCGCAGTATTGAATAGTTAATAATTTTTCCTTCCGTACAATTTGATGAATTTTGGCCAGATCGATTTCTTAACATAAATGACAAAACTCTGTTGACTCTTTTTTCTAACGGTGAGAGAATATTTAGACAATGTTTTCGATAGCATGAGTGATTACGAAGTCTGTTGCGTGGAGTCGATTGACTATGAACAGCACTACAAGAAAACTACGTACCCGTTGACCGATAAAATCCACCGTAACCCAAATATCAGAAGGCAGTTGATGGCTGTAGTCGAGACGTATTTGTTGGCAATATCATGGTATCGAATAGATACCAAGATCGTGCCAAAGGAGTACAAGCGTGGTTACCGAGCGTAGCCGAACCCGTGCAAGGTCACAATCGAAAGATAATGGAGAAGTAATATAGCTGTCTTTAGCACGGTTAAACAAATGAGCACAGTAAAACAATCACTGGTACAATTGGTCATAATAATGATTGTTTCCATTAAGTCGATCGCGTTCTCTTGGTAAAAGTAGATCAATACAAGTCTAACAATGTGTTCCTTCGTTTTGACGAAAATGAGAGATTTCGAATGCACGGGGTGCTGAGGCATATCCCATTACCGTCGCCAAAAGCCCACTATTGAAGAGTCATTACATTTTACGTTGACTATCTCTGCCCAGATAATATTAGATGCATAAAACTTCATAATATCGTGAATTAGTTATCTTCACACCATAACCCAATGTGCTCCAAGATAAAGTAATCAGCTAAACAGGCTTAACTACGATAGATGACATCGAATATAAATGTACAATATTCAATGGTGAGTTCTCAGATAATGATTTCACAAGTCCCGCATTTTGAATGAGTTATTTTACTGGAGTCCACTACATTTTTAAAATAAATACGCTCTGGTTCATAATAAGTTTATTGCCATGCAAAAAGCATCATCAGTGGCGAAGTTGATTTGGTTGGACAATCCTACTTAACTCCACTGTTGGGATAGAACAATTGGGTGAGTTATATTCGCTTACTGTGAACGGAATAGTTGTACTTATAACCCATAAGATGTTTTTTATGTCTCACTCACACCCTTACACAATAGATGATTTCAAAACACTCCCGTACAACGAATTGAAAGCGACATTGATCTCAGTTATGCGACTATCGAATAAAAAGTCTTAATTATGACCCGAATTTCAACTCATTGACATCAATGGAAAATAGCACGCGTGAGACATAAAAGTTTCCACTTAAACATGCAGTGTCAAAAGTTAATACTGCTAAGGACCTAGAAACAAGAACAAAACAACTGTAAGATATTTTATGGTTTTCAATAATTTTCCACTTAACATTATTTTATGACAAAACTTACGTTCAGAGTGTTTTCTATTAATTACAAATTATACAATCAGATTGATTTACTGGTTCTTACAAACTAAACTAAAATTTCCAACTTAAGTAAATGTCAAGAAATATTCACAAATCTAGGGCTATTTTTCTGACTCTTCACCATTATGTTGTCGATAAAGTAATAATCATGTATGGTTGATTTATCAAAACAAAATATTACATATGTTTAGAACCTTTATTATCAACAATATTATTATTATTAAGGTAAAGTAGAATAGAGATATACTTGCCTAGAACTCATTATTAAATAAATTTTTCAATAGCCATTTACATTCAAATGTATAATTGTATCATACATACACGGAAATTACAATTAATTTTGTCATCTGATATATTTGCAACCCAGTAAAACACAAAGTGTTCAAGAGAACAATCATATTTTGTTGCTTCTATTCATAAGAAATATGTATAGTATTGTAGTCCAACGTTTCGTGTTTTTGTTATGAAAAGTAACAAAAGCATTTTGTAAACTAGTATCATCATAAAGGAATTATACTCATTATAACACTTAATCATAACAATGAAAGTAAATATGGTTAAACTATATAAAACTAAGATGTATATCAACTTCTCTCTTGTTGATCTAATTTATTTGTAACCTGACGGATTAAAGTTTCTAAATCACCGACTTTAAAAAAAAATGAAAAATTCAGAAAAGAAAGAAAAAAGAATAATTTTAATGAATCAATTTTAATTTATATAAACACAATTAAAATGAGATAAAAATTATAATTTAAAAACAACTTGTAAGGTAAATTCCATTAGAAAATGGTACCCCTTGAATAAAGTTTGGGAATTAAAAGCTTGGAACTCTATACACACATCTCCACACAGAATCTAATAAAATATTAAAAGCATACTTGGTAGTGATTAACTATGACATTGAACTTTTAATGTTTTATTGCAAATCAGTGCTTTATTAAGTCAATCGGTTATATAGGATGGAATATAACACAACCCACAAAGTACAATAATCTAGATCAATGATTTAGATCCTGGAATTCATTTCGATTTGTAATACATGATAAATCCCACCGTCATTGAAGTACATTATGATTGAAACTTATCTCCAAGTTGAACAAACTCTTTTTAAAACATACATGAACTGATCACATATATTGACAAAACAATAATTAACTAATTATTATCCAAAGACAAGTTCATTATAAAAAGGATAAATCAATAAAAACGAATGTTGGATTAATTTTATTTATTTTATCACAATAACCCGTATTACAACCCCTTTATTATAGTTTACAAGTTGAGTACGCACATACATATTTAGCTCGCTTCAATGATAAAATGTTGCCAATGTTTCCTAATTTTAATAACAACAATTTATTAAAACTTTATGATCAATGTTCAGATTACGAATAATTTAACAAACATGGGACTTGTTTACACATTCATAATTTCAAACACATATACCATGTCGAGAGTAGGTCAAATATAAACAACCAAATTAGATGATCGCAATGCTATAATATGAATATGGAAATGCGAACCATTGAATTCTAAAAACGTGGTTTAAAGGGTGACTTAATAAAAGGTTCCACTTATTCTTCTCACTCATTTATTGCTTGCTGTTGTTTTTTTCCGTTCATTCTTTTGGTGTCTCTTCTTCAGTATTTGTATATTTGAAATGATTCTTCACACACCCTTTTATTGTGTAAAATTGAATGATTGTCATTTTAATAAATTCATTTTCTCAGGCTTTGACCGAATTCACATATTGATATGTTTATTTAAATTTTTTCTATGCTTATTACTACCAGTGAACCTGTTTCACTGTTATCATTGACTTAAAAACTGCTTCGATTAATTCATTCCTTTTCATATGCACATAAAAGGACATTATTAAAGCTTGATAAAGGTAAAATTGAGAACAGCATTGTTTACTTATATGTATTATTCTAAAATAAAAGTCGTCTCTTCACCCTACTACTACTAACTTTCGAACCTTTAAAAATTGGTATAATTTCTCTTAAGGTTCCTAAATCAGAACAACAATGATAACAAAAATCAGCGTTACAAAAAATAGCAAACTTAACTAATATCTACCAGTATAGAGGTTTGTGGTGATTGTTGAATGTTATCGTGTTCACGAACCGACCTAAGTTAGATAATCATTGAAAACTAGGAAACCCTGGACACAGCTCTTTCGTCCTCGAATGGGACTCTTCAGTGACGTCTTGGTTCTCAAAGGTTATTCGGGGTGGTCTATGATCTCAGTCAACTGATATCAACTTACCAGGATCTGATGAATTCTCCGTAGTTCGCCTTACATTCCCTAATTTATCGATGAGAGAGGATGGCGTAAAATTCATAGAAGATCGATTGGAGGCCGATAATTTGTAGTTACTAAGACCTGAATTTGGAAATGTGTTGTCTTCCACTAGCAACTTTACAGATGAAGGATTACGACTGTGAAGTTGATGTAAAATTGATTTGCATCCATTTTTCTGATTATCAACTAAGTGTAAACCATTATTATGATGTAAGTGAGAATCTAAAATTATATCATTAATTTCATCAGCATGTAGAGAATGATTTGCCAAATGTGGGAGATTTTTTACAGCTGCTGTTTCAATAGATAATTGTTTAGCTTTTTGACAAGCTAATTCTGCCTTTTGTTCCGCTAAATAAAATCGATTCTTGGTTTCATGCAGTAGTTTTTCAGTGTCATATAACTTTGTATTCAAATCTGAAATTTGATTAGTAAGAATAGTTTTTAAGTCTTCATGTGATTTTGATTCATTTTGAAGTCGTTGCTCTAACTAAAATTTAGATGATAAAAATATTATGATTAAGATGATATGATATCACAGGTTTTATGAACACAAACGAAGAAAATTTAAGAAAATTATTATAAGTCTTTAGTTAAGTTAGATAATGCCAGCAGTGAAGTTTAGGTTGAAAATTTTGTCCTATTTGAGACTGGTCTGTTAGGTGTTCCAGCATGTCAGCCATAATAATTACATTGAGACTCAGGCCATGATGGTAAACTTCGCTTAAGATGTCCAACGTGTTATAAAATGAACTACTGATTTTAGATAGGTTTTACAATGAATATGAATTTTATTTATGAGGGTTTGTATTCCCCAGTGATTTGAAATTAAGATTACCATCGATCATTCTCTTTTAAAATATGAACATTGCAAACAGTCTGCCTCAATATAGTCATTTAGTCATAGGCTTTTAGTAAAGCTGGAGGGTAGCTAGTAGTATAACTTAGAAAGCGCGTTTGGAACTCATCAGCTGAATGTGCCCGTATACCAAACGAAATAAAAATATCAAAGCACTCTGGTCAGGATGCACTGATCTCGAAAGAGACTAACTAATGGGAGTCCATAATATCAATAACCAGAAAATAAAAATCCTTTTAGATAAGATGTGATAAAAGGAAGTAGGGTAAAAAAAATTTGGTAAAACGGAAAATTTCATTCTTAAAATTCAGAATTGGATATCGTTTGAGTGGAAATAGATCAAAACCGTAGATAATTACAGTATCAAAGCATTAGTTTATCATCGTAGTCAAAAATGAAGTGGATGGATAAGGAAAGAGACCCATTGTGTAATTGAAGAATGAAAGCTATTCGAAAAAGAAAATTTTCTTTTCGACGATTTCATTTACATAAGCTGTATAATCGTATTTATAGTTAATTTTATTTGCTAGTCTATAGTAAACCATAATGGTGCTAAATAATTAAAAAAACTTCCAGTGGCTTTTTTTTATAATGAATTGCTCATGAAAATCAGATATTGTAAGGTAGTTGTGTATTAATCAGCTGATGTAAAGTGCTGATGGGAAAATAATTGTCCACTTGATAAGTATCAAGAACAGAACAATTAGAATTTGTCATAATGGCTAATTAATAGTTGTCGAAATAATTGGAGAGTAGTAGAAATAATAACTAAAAACGATAGATTATGGAACAATGAGGCAATGAATATACTGTATTTGTACGCAAAGATTAGTCTTGAACCAATGGACAGCAATAGCCTCTGCTGCATATAGATTTTTCATTTCCATTCCTCTTGAGGTGACTCTTCTGAATGTATCTATGATTTTGATAAAGACTTCTGGTGAAGCGGAGTGACCACAATTAAGTAATTGTTCTAAGCTTTAGCTTCTGACTAACTTAAGTAATATTTTATAAAGTCAGCCAGTGTTCAGAGATGATTTTTGAAAGAGCTTGTTTCGTGTGTCCTGTGTAACAATAGATCACTTTCCTTATTTGAAAACATGTAAGGATACTGAGACAGTAAGGGAACGTTTTGAGTTTCTGAGGTTTTCTATCAAGCTTGCTGTAGAGAATGTAGGAGTCACATTTTTAAAAGGTAGATGGATAATATTTTACAAGCAGCTACTAATATGATGAGAGCAATGTAGTGATTTGTGATTACTACATAATCACTACGACCTCAACAGGGGTCGAACTCATGACCTGTAGCCTTTGTGGGGGAACTTGACCAATAAAAATATTTCAACTTTTTGTATATACCACCAGGTGAAATACATATTATCTACAAACATACTTGTTTATGTTTTTGTTTATCAAGTTCAATTTGTTCAAGAAGTAACTGTTTCTCCTTGGTCAATGCATCAACATTTAATTTTGTATCATCCAACAGTTTTGTTTGAGTATTAAACTTCTCAGTTAGCACTTTTAATTCGTATTTGGTTTCATTATACGCAGATATTTGGTTCGTTTGATCGTGATTTTGTTCCAATAACTACAAACCAATATAATCGAACACAAACGACCATGAATTTGAAGCAATAGTTCCAAATTTAGTCTATACAATGTCGAAACTTCTGAAATACATACTAACAGATTTTTTATTAAGCTTTCAGGAAAGATTTATCTACTTGGATCAGGTTAATTAGCAAAAAATCTTTAAAAAAGTAACGTGAAAGCTGATTTGATGAACTTCAAATTTTGATCCACCATTTCAGGTCAGCGCAGTAGAAAACTTTCTGCCTCGCAGATTGATTTTGCTGCAAAATTGCCGGAAAAACCTTATTGGACAATCTAAACTGTTGTTGAACCAGTCGCTTTAAACTAATTAATCAATTAATTTTTACAGTTTTAAGTGTATGAAAAGTGTGAATTCTCTAAATTTTAATGTATCGCAGTTACAAGCCAGGTCTGGTTTTCAGTATTCCATGACTCAGTGAGATATAAGTATATCGGTTACCAATCATATTGGTTGTTGGATCTTGTGACATCATGAAATACCTAATTTTTTTATTACTGTATTACTTCAGTTTCGTCCTTGTTACTAAAAAGTAGTTTGCTTCAAATCTAGGATTACAATTGAAGTTCTATCCGATGGAGTCTATAAAGAAGTTGGTGAGACGATATCAAGCAGTTGATCAAAAGTATTTAACATTGAATTCGAGTGTTTCATGATAAAATTCGTAAAATTTATTATATACTTGAATAAAATCCAACCTCCCACTTAATGGAACCTATTACTTAGAGAATTCTAGCAAACACCTCAAATCCAATCAGTAAATTAAATATCAATCGTGTAATCTAATTGAACAATATTTTTAAGTTTTACTTATTAAATGGATGAAATTAAAAACATTAGGATAATCGTCACCTACCTTACTCTCTAAATCCCGAATATCTAATTGTAATTGTCGATTCATTTTTTGAACTTCTAACAATTCTTGTTGAAGTCGACTGTTATGTTCTTCCAGTTTAGATTTTTGTATTTCACTTTCTTTATGTAAATTGGTTGAAAATTCTACTGTTTTATTTGAGTTAGCAAGTTGTTGGTCAACTGTTGCCTGATTGATGGTAATAACAACAAGTGTAATAGAGTTATAAAAATAGATGCACATTTTAAATTACAAATTAACAAAATGCGATTTCAACAATCAAAACAATTGTTATCCTAAATTTCATAATTATTAGATGGATACGAAACAAAAACTTGTGACGTGACACTATATCAAAGTATTCTACTGAGCATCCAGGTATGAGAACAGAGACAATTTTAAATATCGACAAGGGGAGAATACAAACCTTTACACTTGTGGACCAAGATAGTAGCTATTTGTATTTAGTGGATAACGTTTTTAACATTTGAAGCAAAGGGCAATCGGTTAGAGTCTCAACATGAACTATGGGATAACGCTATATCTACCTGACTAGTTTAAAATAAGTCGAAACCCTTATCTTGAATTCTAATGTTAGCCAACAGCCAAATGTACTATTATCGATCATTCGATAGATTTAAATGTTATCAGTAAGAAATCAGGTTTGAGAAATGTAAAATTTGGGTAAGAATTCTTTAGTACATTAGACCTCATATTTTTAAAAAATATTTTAATTAAACTCTTGTTATTGCAATTTCTATATAGTCTTTATTAAAAGCTATCCTTCAATTCAATGATTCCTATCATACCTTTTACCACCCATAAATCACAGTCAATTATAAATTTGTTATACAAGTTTTTTTCTGTTTTTATCCATGTTGCTTATTACTTATGCTTGAAACGAGGAACCACTACAATTCCCTCGACACGTAGTAAGAACACTGAATACTGGTACAAATAGAGATTTATTCACCCCTAAAAAACACGATGAGGACTCAGTAGCTAAGTGGACTCTAGTAGAAAAGACATTTATTCATATATTGATTGTACACTCATTGTGACTATTAATTAGAATGAAATCACGTCTATGAAAAATACCAATAGTTATAATAAACCATATGCTGCACGTCATGCTATGTCTAGATTACGTTAACTTAATGCACAATATCTTATCTTGAAATAACACCACACCCAAATAAATTAATATTATATTGAATAAAATATCACACTGGAAAACAAAAACAAACACTGCACTCAATAATCATCATATAGAATTAAAAGTGGAAGTAATGTTGAACAAGAAGTTTCAATGTGTAAAAGAATGTAATTTCGCCTTTTTCATCTTATCATATCAATATTGAAAATGTTTAACTGACGTATCTATTGTGATTTATAAATTGTGATCAGTTTTTATCATCTAACTTCACATTTAATATCAAAGTAGTTATGACTTCATAACGTAAAGGTGTTTACGACCATTTATCTAGCTTTCTGGTGTTCTGATTAAACGTTTAATGTGATGATTAGCGCTACAAAGAGATATGATTGTTGTAACGATAAAAGACGTATGAACTATCTATTAATAAAAGTGAGAAAATTTTACATATACAGTTTGTTCTGAATGTGATCCTAACCTCTCAAATAAATTTAATCTCAGGAATAGTATGACAACTTTTTATTCTTTCTGTACTACACCATTTTTTTAAAATACTCTCAATTATCATTTTGTATCTTCTTAACCTTCTTCAATTTCCATTATAAAATTACTTAAAAATGAATGTATAATCAGATTAATCAAAATGTTTTGCGTAAAAATATTATACTTTTCTGTTCATTTTTAGACTTTCGAAGAATTCTTATACTGATTTGGTTAACTGAGTTACTACGTCCGTAAGCCTAGAATGATACTACTTAGCTGATTATCACATGGTAATGCAACTGCTTACCAAAATATTTTTCGTCAAAATTAAACAAAATATTACAAAACTGGTTGTTAGGAGAATGTTAAATTATCTAAACTTTTTTTTATTGTTAATAAACGTTAATTCTAATTTGTTAAATAAGTTCTCAGTAACTTTTTCCATTTGAAATTACCCTACTTAAATTATTTGCAGTTGTTTAATTGGTTAACGTTATCTATAGCATGAATACTTTTACTTATGTACCTCAAAGCCCTAAGTAATAACATAAAAACAATGTTGTTCGGTTACAACCTGTCTCCTTTGAATATCAAGTTTTATCGAAGCTCTTAACTTCTCTCCTTAAACATTTACGTGGTTATAGTTGGGAAGTTGTGCATTAATCGTCTAGTCTATCTAGTTAGCGTATTTCTTTTCTCGTATTATTATCAAATTATTCGTAGTTCAAACACAACATAAACCATCAAGAAGACAGATTACTTATCTATGAAGACAAAGAAGAGATTTCTTAAATACTTACTTTAAGTAATTCATATTCTTTTGATTTTTCGTCAAATAAACTAGTTTTACTTTGAATTTCATTTTCCAAAAATTTAATCAGATTTTCACGTTCATTCAATTTGATTTTTAATTGATTAAAACAAATGTCTAATTCATTATATCGTTGGTCATTTAATTCCTGCGTTGTATTAGCAGATTTTAAACGTAATTCAGATTCTGCTAGTAAACTATTCAATTCAGTTATTTTTAATTCCATTTCATTAATTTTTGTAATTTGATTATTTTGATTCATCATTGTATTTTCTAGCTGTTTGATGACATTTTGACTGAAACATAATTGATTATTAGATTCCTCCATAAGGTTTTCATACTGATAAAAAAGGTATAATAATAATGTTGATTCAGGAAATTGCTTTATTTCTGAGGATTTTATAAACAGCTTGACATTAGCTTGTATACTAAAAAACACTAAATAATTCATTCACTATAGTTTCGGACAATTTGGGACTATGTTACAATGTGGAGTCGACTAAATCATGTGCACTCAGATACTCAAAGTTCGACCGAATATTGCGTCACTCCCCCCCTTAATGTGTGTTTGTGTATGCGTGAAATAAATTCATTTAATTTAATCCATATTTGCCTTCCTATTGGTGTCACCACTGAAATGGGAGTAAACTAGTCATAATATTCGGAATTAAACGAAAGATTTATTTTCATTGTATAAACATTCATTCAATCGAATCGGAGTCAGATCTCGGGCCACCAACAAAACCTTGAAAATTAAACCATCCAGTTCGTGAAAAACATAACACATCCACAAAAATTACTAATAGTGTCAAATCCATATCCCTATTTAACAATCCAGTAGCCCGCATTGCAAACCAATTTTTGAGGCCATATATATATTACAAGTATTCGACTTCGTAATTTTGAAGCACTGATACCATATGGCAGGAACCTCTAAAAGTTGAGCTCAAATTCTATGCTACCACAGAAAGTTGGCCGATTAAATTGTAAGTGAAGTCACCGATTTATGTTTTACATGGAACAAGCAACTCTATGCAAATATTAGCTGAATCATGCAGTTGCTGAATAAAAAGTCAAGCGATAGTAGTTCACAAAGTCACTAACAACGAATTTCTGAGATGCAAAAGCATTTTTTTCTTTAGAATCAGGTCATTTGAATGTGACAAATCAGTGGTTAGTGCTCCGAGGAAGTCAACTCGTCAGAATGTGACAAACGCAATTGCTAGTCACCTTAAAACCTTTGCTCAGTAGTGATTTTTTGTATTTTGATATCACAACTTTTTTATGTGTTTTACTTTTCCAATATTATTGGAAGGTTCAATGGTGATATGACACTTTAGTAGTAACAATCACTGGATAAAAATAAACAGAGATGTTGTTTTAATAGCTGGTTAAAATATTAGAATAAACCAAAGTAAATAAGATGAATGGTATAAAAAAAATATGAATGAATCAGTATCAAACAATCAACACTACACATATATAAAGAAAAACTGACAAATTCAAATTGACCTAAAACTGTAAATTATAGCATCAACCAATAAGGAAGTCTGATAGCTTCTAAGTAACTAATAAACATAGAAACTGAATAGTACAATAATAGTTATTCATAGATAGTATAATCATGTCATATATATATATATATGTATATATATATATATATATATATATATATATATATATTCACAGATTGAAATCATGAGTCAGTTAAAGGTAGACCACCATTGAAAACCTGTAAGCACTGGACGGCCGTTTCGTTCTAATATGGGACTCCTCAGCAGTGCGCATGCACGGCCCCGCACCACCCGGGGCTCGAACCAAGGACCTACTGGCTTCGCGCGCGAGCACTTAACCATTAGACCACTGAACCGGCATCTAACGGTGTTAATGTCTAACTTCAACCAATCCACGAAGTTGCGCTACCGTACACCATTGTCTTCAGTGAGTTCCTATCTCACAACAGACCTGGTTGAACTCCACTGGTAACGACTTCTCACTAGAACTCCAGAAGTGTCTCCTGAAGTCAGTCACTAGTGAGCAGGTGATTATTATTATCAGCTTCAACTGACTCATGATTTCAATCTATGAAAATTTCTAAAATCTACACAAAACACATTCTGATATATATATATATATATATATATATATATATATATATATATATATATATAATGTCATAAGTATTTGAAAAGAAACTCACTTTATTATTCGCTTCTTGTAATTTAATTTCAATTTGTTTTAATTTTTGACGTATACGTTGAATTTCATTAGATTTTTCATTTAATTGTTTTTCATAATTATCACATTTATTTTTTAATTCAATTTGTAAATTATCATAATTAGTTAATGCTGTAGTTTTAGCTAATTTTAATTTATTCATTATACGTTGATTAGTATGTAATTGTTTTTGTACAATTGTATGATTTAATTTTAAATCATTTAATTCTTTTGTCATATTTTTTAATTCTTCTATTGTTGATTCATTATTATTAGTTTTAGACATACGTAAACTATTCAATTCTGATTGATATTGTTCTATCTTTAATTTAAAAGAATAATTTTATTTTTTACGAAAAGGAATAAAATAGTCATAATGATATAAGAAAGATTAGTTCAGAGAAGAGTTCTGTTTTATAATATAGGAGATCTTTATGAAATGTTAAATTCCAATAACGGGATACGTGGACGAATAGAATCGATAACATTTTGTGCATGGCGTTTAAGGGATTTTGAGTTTGGTTAAATATGGTTTCTTCGAAGAATTTTTCAATAGTATTTAGGATATTTGTGCATTTTAATGCAATCCTTAAGAAAGGTAACCTTCGCATTCACTTCCGCAAGTTTGACAGGATAACGCAGAAACTCATTAAGTTCCTTTACTTTCGAAAGGTCCTTGGAATTTCTTAATAAACGGAATACACCCATTAAGGATTGCTTTAAAATGCACAAATATCGTAAATACTACTGAGAAACTTTTCGAAGAAATCATATTTATCCAAACTCAAAATCTCTTAAACGCCATGCACAAAATGTTATCGATTCTATTCGTTCACGTATCCCGTTATTGGAATTTAACATTTCACAAAGATCTCCTGTATTATAAAAGAGAACCCTTCGCTGAACTAATCTTTCTTATTTAATATCTTAATAGGTGTATTCCGTTTATTAATAATGATATAGACAAAACATACATGCAACATCAATTGTACCATGGATTGGGTTAATGGAAATTCCAAATTATAATGTAGGTATATTATGTGTATAGTCCATTAAAAATGAGGTGCATAGAAGTGTATTATATGCATATAAATATATACAGTAAAACATCATTATGGTATATCCATGATAAGATACTATGATTGTTATTGAAGTTATAAATAAAAGAATATACATTTAAAAAATTAAAAAGAACTATCCGATATCAAACCAAGTGTATGACGATGGATAGAATTACGCTCGTTATCTGATAACAGACTACATAGATTAATTCAGTTGAATCATACAGATTAGAAGTGATTATCCAGTATTTACTTATGAATGAAATGGTAAAGATTTATTAGAGTAACATTTTTGTAAGCCTAGAAAAATGTGTCTCAAAATAAACTGTATGATAATATTCTGTAATCAGCTGTGATATTTGTAAGAAGTTACATTGAAGTACCATTTAGCATTAAGCATATCAAGGTTTTAAGCAAAATTTAAATAATAAATATATTTTTATAATATCCCAAATGAGTAGATAATTGTATTTTTGACATTTCTTAACTTAATGTAAGTCAATTCTTCAAAGGAAACATTCACACAAAAATATATTTATTAATAACTTCCTATCCAATGTTCAATTTATTTGAAGCTATCAAATCTAACATTTGCATTGACAACTACACAATTTAAATGTTTATTATTTACTAAAACAGAACTTTCTATGTTTCGTTTCACATTTTCTAGCTCTTAATCCTTGATATTTTAGAAGTTCTTTGCCTGACTCTAATATGTTCAAATCGTTAATTATATAGACGAAATATTAATCCTATTCACTTCATATATGTACCGTTCACAAATCGGATGAATTACTGAGTGAATATAAAAAGTTGAAAACAAGGTAGGCATGTGAACTTGAATGGAGGATTAATTTAAATAAGACTCAACACTAATAAGCATAATATAGATACAAGCAAACATGTAAATATATTCTATCTGTCATATACACGACTCAAGATAACATGCATAGTTGACAGAACAAGTGAAAACATCAAAATAATTCATCTGCCCAAAAGTATAAATCAGGTAGGTATGTAATACAAAAGAAGTTGCTACAATATCGGCCGGGAATAAACACCACGTTGTCATCTGAGTGTACTGTAGTCAGTAAGTACGGTTATGTTATTGTTTATTTAGACACTCGATTAACGATATTTTAGAATAAATTCTATAATAAAATTAGTCGGACATTTAACTTTTACCATGCAGTTTCTCTTCAATCATGACTGAGTGCACCACAACTGGTTGGAAGAAAGTTAGGGGCGGCCAAACCAAAACGTGGCATCAGTGCTTGAAGCCACTAACTTCTGGTCTGAGCCAAGTTGGTAGATGTAGGTTACTTGGTTAGACTCCGTGAGACTATCGTGACCAATGATTGAAGACTCTGGGTGACATAGCTCAGAATCGATCACAAAAGCGTCGGTGTATACGCTTTCTTTCTTCCCCTAAATTATGAGATTAAAGACTCTTTATATCTTTCTTTCTACGAACTAATTTTTTCTTCCTGGATTATATCCTTATATGCAATCTTTCTCTTATAGATTACCACCGCTGAATTAACTATTTCTATTAATCCGGTGTTCATATTGTTGTGCTAATGAGTTATGGCAACTTGGACCGATGCATATATGTGCCTGGTCCTACGTTGTAGCTGACTGACTGACACTTCCGTACAATGGTGGAGTGGTATTTATGTCGTAGAAAACCTTACATTTTCCATGTAAGCCAGCAAAAATGACGGAAAGTGGAACATGTCCTCCATCATGGATTACGATGGTTTAAGTAATAATTCCAGCTTCAGTTTGATTGGTTGCCAAGTGCTAGGTCGAAATCGCGATTAAAAGTGCAATTTATCCTTACCCACAATATCACATCTTTCATTAAAAAGCCGAACAATCAGACAAAAGCAACATAGAAACTGATAAAAATGAACGTGCGCCCAAGTTGTCATAACATATCTGTAAAGCGACATGAAATTAAAAAGTTGAAAGCTAAAAGAATAGAAGCAATGGTACCAGTTGAATTAAAAACGATGAGGCATATGGATATGGTTCAAAAAGACAGTGAACTAACGAAATAAAAATAACAAAACAATTCGAAAATCAGAATCCAATAAAAAAATCTATTTGAGCCATTGAGACAGATTTTGGACGATGCTACAAAACGTCTCCAAACATTAGTCAAAATAATCGCACCCATCTAAGATACGGCTCAGCTTAGCTTTCAGTAATTCCGTAGACTGATAGCGGATCATGGTTCATCCACACTCAGCTTTCTCCCAATGCATTCTTACACAAACTAAAATCCCATTTCAAAGTAGATGTTCGTTGATAATACGTAATACAATTTCTGACTACTTCAGCCGATAACTGATTAGAATATACAAGCAAACCACATTTCATCCGATGTTTAAACTCAAAGAAATAAGTGCATTAAATTATTCGTAATCAGGTGCATTTTTTTAGAAAAATGTGAAGTACATACCCATCTTCATTTAGTAAAATCGATTTCTGGAGAATTGAAAAGAAAATTACGTAGAACCAATATAATTTACCTGAATAAAATACGAATTACTGTTCAAATGTGAACAAAATTTATTAACAGCTACGACCGAATCGTATAGCATAATTTTAAGTAGTTATTTAAATGTTTTTTTTATTTTGTTTATAATGATCAATTTCTTGAGATCAAAAAAGTAACTTATTCAACCATAGAAGCTAATAAACAATAAAACAGCGTACATTAATATAAACCGTAAACACATATCAGTAACTCGTATAAAATGTCAGAAGTCCCAGACTAAAACAAAATAAAACACCTTGTTATTCATCTTTCAAACAAAGAACTTGACAATAATACAATTTATTAATAATAAGGATAGATCATAGTTTAAATAATCCAGTTTTAATCTAAATTAACGTAAACTATTAAATAGTAAAACAATATAAATGATCTTGTATTGTTAGAAAGTAACAAGAAAATCAATTCATAAGAAAAATAAACTTTAAACATTTAGTGACACAATGAATTCAATAAGCTGATAGTATCTTTTTTTAAAAATCAACATTCAGAAACCTCTGTAGGACATGATAAACTTAGTTCACTTTCTAAACATTCAATTATCACTAACCATTTACAATTATTTTATAATATCAATAATAGAGAATTTCTCAATATTTGTTTCAATCACTCTATCTACATTAATTATACTTTTTTCATAATAATTAAATATTAAAACAAAAAGGTTGTTGTGACTGTAGACTGTAGATTAGACAGCAGCGAATTATCGATCGAACCAAAAACGCGTAAACACGTAAGAACGGCCTAGAGTTCTGATTGGTCTCGCTCCCCTGTCTAGCTCAGCCAGTTGAGTCCAGAACGCAAGTCCCAGCATCTGAGATATGAATCATTATATTTCAAGCATACTGAGTTTATATACCAATCAAACCGACCACAACGTACCAATAAAATATGAAACAACATTTGTACAAGAATTAGCCAGATGTGGCTGTGAATGAGTGAGGTAGCGATTAATAGACAGGGAATAATTCATGAATGGTAAATCGTATAATAATAGTTCATAGGTCAAAATAAAGCTTGGATATGAACAGTTTAGTTACATAACAATTATACGATAAATATATACTCATAATATTGGTCCATAAATGGATCGCAAAAATTACCATTCATTATTCTTATCGGGATACAACAAAGGTAATTAGATTAGTTTAAACAAATAATATACAATTATGATAATCATTCTTACCTGGTTTTCTGATTTTTCTAATAATTTTGATTTAATGTTTATTTGTTCATTTGCTTCTGAAATTTGCTCTTTCAATAAATTTAATTCATTTACAAAATTATCATTTTGTTTGTTTAAATTTAATTCTGTATGTTCAATAGTCTCATTGGCTTTGTTTAATTCTTGTTGTAATTGTTCATTTTTACTATTTGATTCCTAGATAAATTACTTAAATTAATCAACCACTGATATGATTGCAATAAATGACACTTAATAAATATAATTCCAAAAAAAATATTTGATGAACATGTGTCACTCAATTCCACGGATCAGTTGACGTTAGATATTAACAATATTGGATACTGACTCAGAGGTCAAGAGGTTAGTCGTTCGTGCGCGAGACCGATAGATTCTAGATCCGCATCTTGCGAGGCGGGATCGTGGATGTGCACTGTTGAGGAGTCACATAATAGGACGAAATGGTAATCAAGTGCTTCCAAGTTTTCTATAATGGTCTAGCTTCAGTTGACTCATGATCTCAACTATTGAAATATGAACATATATTACTCATTTTAAGTGACTAGTATTATTTCACAACTTTTGTGAATAAATTTATAACCTGAGAAAAGTATGCTGTCAAACGTGACAATGTCTTTTTTCATAAGTGCACTTGACAATAAGTTAAAAGTATTTCACACAAAAACTTCTAAGTCACTTACGTTAGTATTAATATAATTTTACTAGAAGATTTGACGCTTTCATACGTACACTTATTGAATACTTTCATTATATAAGTTATAACTTGTGGCCGTGTGCCCTATTAATATGTAACGTAATGATATCGCCAATTGAAGAAGTGACGTATAGACCGGATAGCATAAACCCGTACGAGCAGTCTACAGTCCTTGTCGGTCCATCTTCCTGCCTAGCCCTACCTGCTGAGTCCAGAACACCAATATCAGCCTCCGTGATATGAATCATGTATTAAACATACTGGGTTTATACACAAGCCAAACAGATCACATCGTACCATAAAATAGTAAACAACATTTGCACGAGGTCTAGCCAAAAGTGGCTGTTAATATAAAATGTAATTAATAAACTGGGCATTAATCAAGAACGGTAAGTCGTATAATGACAGCCTATAAGTCAAAATAAAGCTGATAATAAGAGAAACATGAATATGTATAGTTTAGTTATTTAACAAATATACAATAAAAATATATGTATCGTATTGGTTCATAGATAGTTCTCAAAAGTTACTATTCATAATTCTCGTCGGGATATGTCCACATGGCAGTAGTCAGTATAACTATCTCGATTTTAAATGTTAATACCAAAAAATAATGCGAGATTCTATGAGTCAATTGATCAGTTCTAACAGTTTAACTTATACCAGTTTTGTGCTACCTAACGATCTATGAGGCAAGAACACCAACAGTTAAAAACATGCTTGCTATAAAGAAAGAAAGATTGATATTTAACAAAAGATTTTTACCATTTCTACAATAAAAATAACATTATTATATAACCCCATTGTACTTATGTTTTACAAAATAAGACGTAATATAACCGAAAAGAAACAAACGCAGGTTATCGAAAAGAATATGGATTCCAATTTCATGATGGAATTTTGGCGCTTGAAATCAACATTTCCAATTATGAAACCAAAATACATAATTTTCTGGGTGATGTGAAGAAAGAAATACAGAAGCAATGATGAGCAACGGAAGCTACTTTTGAGAACAGGGTCTCACTTAATTCAAAGTCGGTAAATTACTAATACTTAGTTTTGTACCTGTTTTATCATGGAAGTTATAAGTCTTCGTTTGGTTCATGAATCACGACCTTACTCTTTTTTACTCCAAAATTATTGTGCTTTAAACGCAACCTTTTTCTACGCCATTTTTTACTCTAATGATCTAGTTTACAAATAATCACATTTTTCTTATTCTTTGTGCTTTTTGGTCTTGTTAGTTATATATTGCTTCATGTCCTTTTTCGAGTTAATCTGAATCATGACTAAATCAAGTAACAATCCAGCCGATTCAAACTCTCTCTCTTTCACGTTTGCTAACCTACCAGGTAATGGAATATTTTTCATCTCTCTGCCTTCAGGGTCGTCCAGTCACAACCGAACCCTTGCATTGCTAGTCTCAAAGTTGTGCTAAATAGCCTATTGAGTTAAAAGCCTGAAATAGACGGATCAAATAGTTAACACTCGGTATCTTTGAGAAGGACAGAATTATAGTTAATGAAATAGGTTATAATAGAAAGAATAGCAAATAGGATGAAATAATAATAAGACTTACTAACCATGAGTTCGGACTCCAAATGTTTACATTTTTCTATTAAAGATTTTAATTCTGGTTGTAAATGTTGCTCAATGCATTGTTTTAATTCTAACGCTGTGGCTACACCTTCTTCACCAGTTGACAAAGCAGCTAATAAACGTGTTGATGCATTGGATGCATCAAAAGCAGCTTGTTTTTGTAAATGTTCAATTAATAAAACATGTTCTTTCATATCATTCTTTGTTGAATTTAATTCTTTTTCTAAATAATTACGTTCATCTAAAATAGTTTGAATTAATTCATTTGATTTTTGTGAATCTAGATTACGATTATTCTATATGAAAGAAAAATATTATGATAAAAGTTGAAAATGATTAAATAAAAAGAATAAATTAAACAATTAATGATTATTTAGATGTATTTTTAATACAAGAAAGAGATTATATTTTTTCCAGTTTAGTGATAAAAACTAAAGTTAGTCATTCTTTTGAAGTGTATATGAATGCTGAGTGAAATACTTCTATATTGTTAATTATTCATCGTTGACATTAACTATGGAAGTAGGTTCATCTAGCTGAAAAATCCTAAATATAACGAAACGCACTTCATGAACTCCACTTTGTTCAATTTTGCTAATGAAAATTTAACTATATATATACACTGAATATTAACACATTAGTTTGGTTACTACTTGAGACAACGCAATATATTCAATAACTCTACTCTCATAGATAAGTAGATAAATAGTTTCTCGCTTAGTATAGTACCTTTTTTGTAAGATTGTTATATCTAAATATTTTCAAACTTATAACAAAAGTAAACGACTGGCTCTGTCAATGTGCAAATATGTTCAAGTAGTTCTTGTTTACAAGGTATTAGTTATTTTACAACAAACGTGAATTATTGTGGATCAGTACTTGGACTTTAGAAAAACATTTAGGATACATGTCTACACAGAATGATTGACCTTAGCTTATGAATCTAATTTTTAAAAGAATTAATTTGGATAATATTTAAGGGTACTAGGTATTCATATATATAAGAAAACATCTAATGGTTCACTAGTTGGATCGAAAAACAGTTTCGAAGACTTTATACATCGTTCATTTTAAAAGTGTTGATATATGAGTTGTATATGGTTCGGCCAACACGAATAATTCTTTGAGGCAATTCATAGACAGTCGGTAAAATAAAATTGATTTTCAAAACAATTTATATCGTTTGAAGGTAGATCACAATATAAAATATGGTATTGTCTGAGCCGCTATGGAAATTAAGAAACACTGAACGGTTGTGTGGTCTCACCCCATGATACTTATGTAGTGGACACGTGATTAAATTTGTTCTTGAATAAATTATATCCAACTATCATAAAATTGGTGACTAATTGGATAATGTTAGTACGAAAATTCTTTAATCAACACATTTGTTAATTTCGGTAATCATGAAAATTTTAGAAACCTATAAATAAATATAATACAATTGTAGAAAAGCTGATTTACTTGTTCAGTAACTTTGCATTATTTTTAAAATTCGGTTTCATATGATTAGCCTTTGTACGATACATAAAATGTATCACTATCAGACTGAGAAGCATTGCTTTTTCACTAAGTTAATAACAGTCTGTATTTGGAACATAAAACAATGATCTGGAAATTCTGGGAACAAATGTAAATAAAATTACCTGAGTTGTCAGAAAAGAGTTTAGCACAACGTATTAATTATCGAGAATCACATGCTAAGTACACTCAAGAAGGATGATAAACAACAAGCATAATAGTAATTAGTCAAGAAATTTACATCTATATTAATCTTTTTTTATGAAACTGTAGTTAATTTACTTTTTCCTCCTGATAAGATCGTTTCCATTTTGAAGCTTCACTTTGAATAGCAAGTAAACGACGTTTGAGTTTAGTAACAGTTGTATCATTCACTTTCGCTTGTTCCTCAGCACGAACTTTAATAGTAGTTAATTCTTTTTCTAATTGTGTATTACGTGTACATAAATTATCAGCTCGCTGATGTGCAGCGACTAATGCATTCTCAGCTGATGAACGTCTTTCAGACGCAGTTCGTACAGCTTTTTCATTTTGAGTTAAATTAGCATTTGCTAAGCAGAAAAAATTTGGAATGGTCATGATTTTTTTTAGTACAGTAATAAATGTAAAAATTCCAAGGACGTAAATATATGGATTTTTAAATGGTAAACAATGACTCATAGAAACCTTAAACAGGAATCGTAATCCTTCAGTTATACCCGTCTGAGTTCTTCATCAGTAAAACATGACCTGAATAGCTTAGTAACAATATTTACTGATTAGTATTACCTTGAGTACCGGAGAGAGAACCAGTTTTCTGGGTGGTGTAGATCTACCTTATACATAAGTATCAGAAATCTTATTAGTCTAAGTTCAGATCTATCTGTTGATTGACTTCAAACACTAAAAACGAATTAAACGTCCAATATAAATATCTTGTTAGAATGTTAGTGGTTAACACTTGCATTGAAGACATACTTCTGATTCTGTTAAAACGTCGTAACCTAAATATATCTATAAATTATAGAGAATAACGTCTTCATCACGATTTTGTAATTACCGCACTGACTCTGTGCCATAATCTAACAACACAACGATAAAAATGATGAGGATTAATTTTTGTTTTAAAACCACAGTTGTTAATCAAAATGAAAGTTATTATAACACAGTTTGGTTCTTAACACCCACAAATAGGAGCTATTTAACTTGCAAACGTTTCACGTAAGATAAAAAAGAAATTAAATTCACATCCAAGTAAAGTTTTAAGGAATACTGTGAGTCGAAAAAAGAAGTATTCTTCAAAAAATAATCTCATTTGGTGCCAATCAAAACTAGGAAACACTAGAAAGCTGTTTTATCCTAGTATGGCGCATGTAAGTAGTGTACTTCAACGATCCTACTGTGGATTAAGCTCAGAACCTCAGGGTCTTGCAGTGAACGCTTCATCATTAGAACCATTAGAATGGTTTTGATAGAGTTTTGTTCTCTAAGCTGGGTGGTTTGGTCTACCTGAAGTTTGTGCTGACGATGTTGTTCAGAAGAACGATGGAAGCCCCACGACCAAACCATCCAGTCCAGAGAACAAAACTTCATCAAAATCATCCACTTGAGGTAAAAGAATTTTCTCTATCATCCATTAGAATAGGATAACTTTAACCCCAATTAATGGGAGATATAGCATAAAAACCATTTAGTATCATTGTTAGCAATTGTTTCCCTTCCAACATAAGTAAATTCCAACAACAACTTAGAATTATAATCTCAGGAACAACTTTAAGTTGTCAGTAAGCCAACCGTTGTAATATAATTAAATGGGTTTTGTGGCTACAAGAATAATGTTCAGGTGATATAAGTTATAGTTAGCTTTGGTAGATATTTACCTTGTTCAGTTTTACATCTTAATTCATTGTATTGTTTTGCCAAGTTCTCCGCACGAGCTGAAGTTTTTTGAACAGTTAACTTGGACTTGGCCAACTCATTGGATAGGTCACAATTAATCTGTTGAAGATGAGCAATGCGACGCATTGAGTCTTTTAATTCGTTCTTACCATTCGCAATTTCTTTATTTAACTTCTGAAAAATCAAACGATAATGTTAATGAACAATAAGACGTTTAAAAGCCAAAAATAAAATAAAATATGCTTTAAATTGATTGATTGCTCAATTCGTTCCTTCTTTATTTACTAAATTGATTGAGTTGAACATGAACTGATCGATAATAAAACACATACAAGCGTGAATTACTATCAGTTGCTAAACAAAGTAACAATAAGCTAATAAATATGGTTTAACTGTTTTATCTCTCAATCCCTTCTGCTTCTCAACAATAAGCCTAGAACACCTTAAACAACCATAAAAAGAAATACTTAAACGTCGTTAGTAGATAGCTGTCTTAGATAAGTTTATTTACAGTTAGAAAGTAACCTAGGAGTTGACTTTATGCATTATGGTTAAAAATGTGCTGGATTGGTTGACAAGTACCGTTCACTTCTAAATTCTTATTGTACAATTTGACTGTTGTGTATCATTGTTTAAACGATACATAGAAATGATGGCGTAAATTTTTAATTATCAAAAAGTCATTGTTAAGTATAGATAAGAAAGCAATAAACTTGCCAGACTTATCCGATTATTGTTCAACCATATTATTTATGAGTAATCTATATTTTATTGGAAGTTTTCCGTCTCTTTTTTACTTATTAGCCTAGAGCTTGTTTTTTGGTTAGTGATAAGCCATCTGGAAGGAAAATGAAAACCTAAAAATTGAAAAATATAGTTCAGAGAAGAAAACAGAAACAAAGTCATTCTCCTGATCTAACAATCTTGTCTAACATCTCAGGGCAAATTATATATGTTTTATCGTATAGAACTGATCACTTTTTCTCATATGCTTAATGCTAACTATTTATTGATTATATTGCGTCGAATATCAGTTTTTATCCTTGACTTCAAGAGTATTTTTATATAATCATTAACCAAGAACGTGTTTTTACAAGGACATCTAGGAATTTTATACACGGATGAATTTTAAACGATAATATATCGAGATCTAAACCCACTTGAATTGTAAATTCCGATGTTTTAAATTTTGCAAACAAATTTTCACGATTTTTCTCTGATTGTCTTAATATGTTATTCAGTTCTGTGATTCGACCTTCGTAGGTGTCTTGAATGGAACATATCTTTAAATAAAATTTAAAAAATGGAAACGAAGTGATGTTCGACTAAAAATAATCCGATATGATGCTAACCATTGTTGACATAATGAAGATACTGTCATTTTTATATTTAGAAAAATGATAATTTCAAGTAAAGAAAAAGCTATACTCAACTAGGATGTAGACTAGCAATCTCAGGTTCATTGAGTCAGTATTTTGTATTCTTAAACACCGAATTATTCAAAAAAATACAACAATGATGATTTTTTAGACTGTGAAAATGTATTGTAAAAGTAAAAGCAAGTTTTCGTCTTTTAACTCTAGTGCACACTCAGAATAATCCACTATAGTTTAAAGATTAGTAAGCATATAACATGTGTATTTCAAGTTGTATTTTTTGAAAATTTTCAAGATACAACCAAAGATAAATAGAAGGCATCCACGTTAGCACTTAGCTCACTGATTGACGTAGAAACACTATGTGTAAGTAATAGTAAGACGCTAATCATAATCAAAGATTTTTGGAAATCTTCGAGCTTTTTAACAGAATAAAATTTGCTTTTCAAAATGTTTAATTTTCGTTACAAAAATCACATTGGAAATATTCTTTTGATGGCTTTTAAATAAAACAGGACTCATAGTATATTTGAAACGTTATAAATGAAGCTAGTTAGTTAATACATTTGGATTAGATCGACTAACAACGTCTATTTAACTTAAATTTCCACACTATTATTTCTTTTATGCTATATTAAGTCAGACAAGCAGTGAATTGGACATCAACATTATTCACATTTCCCCTTTATATGGTTTCTAACAAAACAAAAAACAGATATACTAGATTATATGAACATTAACAAAATTGGAAAGCTCTGAAATACTATACTCAGAATATGTACTATGCGACGAAAACTTTGTACGAGGAAAACTAACCTGAAACATATAGTATCAGGCCTATTGCGGATCTGCTAACGTCTGTAATAATTATGTCTTGAAAAGGTTTGATTTCATTTATTTATTTTACGCACACACGAGTAGTGAATCAAGCCAATATTGTTATAAATACCACGTAAAGGAACAATTAAATAACATACCTTGTTTTCAAGCTCTTTTTTGTCAATTATAAAGCGTTCTCTTAATTTGGCTATGCTGGAACGTAATATTTTACTGGCTTTCTGAGCCTCTTCTGTTTCTTCATTTCTTAAGGAAATAAGTTTGTTCATTTGATATTCTGCTACTTCCACACGTTTAAAAAGTGAATTTTTTAAATCTTGAAGATATGCTTCTCTTGACTCAAGTTCCTGTAACAGCATTTCACAATTCGATTCAGCACTGAGAGAAATTTAAAATATATACCAGAGAAGTAAATAGATATATTCCTCCCTCGTGAAGATTGTTTGATAAAAATAGAGTTTTAAATTTAATACTATTATATGAGTTAAAAGGAATAAATTATTTCCTTATGTTTATATAAGATTAGTGTAATTGAATGAACAGAATGGTGAAAAGATTCAAATGATCAAACCCCGGTTACATAACTGTACTTTGCTAACTGTCAGACAAAATTAGATTCTGAGTCTACATTTCACACGGTTAATAAATTGAGATTGATAACTAAAATACCTATATCAGTATTTACATCGATTGATTAGTAACTACTAATTCGTATTATAATATAACTTAATTTTGTTACACACAAAATAATCCTATCTAATCAACATAAGGCTAATTAAAACTGATTTTACTATAACTTACTGATATATATTATTTAATCATTCTAATTACAAAATACTCAGTGACTAAACTGAAACTTTGTAGTACAGTTTTACCTGGTAAAAGAACTTTTATTAGTAAGTATGGAGTCAGGTAAGCTTATGTAAACCCTAATATCAACCTAGACGAATTATCAAAAACTTAGTATCGACTAAAGTTAATTTCACATCCAGACAGTGTATCACTTTTTTCCTAACAATTAAAATACTGTCCAAATCTAACCCATTATGAAGTTAATCATTGGTTTTGAGGCGTTGCCTATAGAATTTAATTATCAGAAGTACCTTTAGGTGTCACCAATGTCTACCGACACAACAAGGTTTTAATCATTGTCCATAACTTGTCAACAAAACTAGGAATAACTAGAATTTTTAAAAATCTTTTGAATTTGTAGTCAATTTATAAACAAGCACTAAACATGAAGTTCATTAAACTTTCTAGCGTTTAACGAAGGAATAGAAGACGAAAGATTATAGGTAAAAAAAATGTACCTCAAGAAAACATCATCTGGAAGAATTCCGAGTGGCTGTTTAGTCCAGAATGGTTGTTTAAGAACCTCTAAAGTAAACCATTTGTTAGTTAAAGTTACCACCTTACAAATTAAAAATCCCTAAAAACAATTTGATGCTGTGTTCTAAAAAATACTAGAATAAAGACTATTTGGAAAATTATAAGTATAAACATAACAAGCCAAATTTAACAAAGAATTCGTATGTGCGTTTACTTATTTGCTGAAAAGATTCATTGCTCTGAAAGTATCCATGTTAACTGATGGTTGAACTCAAGCGTTACGCGTAGGAAAGAATTCACGTGGTTTATAATAATGCGAGAACAGTACATACCGATACTTTCACTCTAAGTTAAACAATGTCAAAAAAACTTACTCGGTATTAGAACTTTCGAAATCTCATGTTGTTATAGATATTACTGTTCTGTTAAGTTATACTTTTATCTCTGTATGAAGACCTTGAGGAGACGAAATAGTGAATTATGGGCAAAGCCTATCCACAATTTATTCTCGTGATGTGACATCCGATAAACAAGCAAATATACAAACCTGTTCAAACAGTGTCAAATGTTTCCTCGATCCACTGCCACCTTTTAAACTCGATTAAAAAGTGAATAAAAACGTCCCTATCTTTTTATCAGCGAACTAACATACAGAGCTAAGACACAAATGCTACTTTGCGCTGAAGTCAAAACATAACTGGAAGTTACAGATAGTGGGTGTAATTTCTCTCAAGAGTGACTTAGAGGTCGTTGTTAAATGATATAAAATGTCATTCATACCAACCAATTCAGCCCAGTTTGCTTATAAAGGGATCAGATGAGCAAATGGCCTAGACTGCAGAAGTGATTAACGTCCTTGTCATTTTCTTAATTCAGAATGATGTAGAAGACACAGTAAGTCAACCTTCTGTCACTTAATTGCAGTTAAAAGGTTTTTTAGATATGAGGGTTAAAAAGAACTTTCAAACACAGAATTTCGCTCACCACGGTCTGCTGAAAAGGCTAAAAGTGGAAATATGTTTATGATGCAAGACACAGTTTAATAGATCACTTGAATCCCTTCAAAAAAGTACAGAGTGCCAAAATCCATACAAAGTCGATAAAGTTTGGTTTACCATAAAATAGGTGCCTTAAAAAGCAAATCTAGTAGACTAAATAATAGTATACTGGATACCAAGTGATTTTAAACCCAAAGTATCTTTTTCTCCCTAACTTGGTAAGAAAAACTGATATGATACAAAACGCGAGTACAGGATCAAAAGACAGAAATTTGCCACAATATACAAGTTTTCTCACTGTGCAATCAAGTCTTGTGTTTAACTGTCGGAAGAAATGGTGTTAAAACCTAAAATTAACATGCCGAAGACGACCAAGCTCGGAGGCTCAATGAAAACGAAGCTAAAAATTCTTCAGCGCCTTGCTATCAAAAAGTAAATCTGAATCATATATATTACATGACAGCAATTATTAAAGCCGAATGCTTATATTTTTATTAATATATACTGGTCTTATATTTCTATACCTACACAAAAAAACCACTTAAAAACAGACCACAGTTTTAACAGAACTTTGTGCAAAAGTTTAACATTAACTCCCAAGAAAGGAATACGACATAGAAATAGCCAGATTTCTGTGGAAGGACAACTATTTTTAAACTCCTATAGGAGTTTGTGTATACACAATCTGCTATGCCCCCCAAGAGCAATCTACGGCATAAGGGAATGCACAAATATATCAAAGAAACAATAAAACTGTGCACATACGCATGTCGTCTTTCTTTTTCTATTATCATCGTGGCCACATCACCATTTAAATCAAGACACTTAGCATTGACAGGGTGCGAGTAATTTATCTGTTTTTCCTTAGCATTTTTCAAGACCAAACTCGGGTCATCAAAATTGAATTGCATCATATTTTCTGGTTTAATTTCATATATCCGGACAACATAACAACAGCACGAACAACTTGTTTACACTTTCGAATGAGGTCATTTCTATGCACTAATTCTAACAAATAGCTTAATTGATCAGTTTTCAACGTCATAATTTGATGAACGAAAGTTATTCTTATTTCAAATTTTTCGGAATGACTATATAATCAGTGCAAAGATGGTGAAATATTGCTGTACTATCGCCAAATGACTTTAAAAGACAAAGGATGAATAACTCGGTTTGATCATTCTCAGAATACACTATGGACTCCATAGTTTTTACTCCTTCCGTATCAAATATACTTACTTTTAATAAGATTTTGTTTGGTAGAGACAATGAAACACCAACAAGTCTAAGTAAATCATCCTGCAGGTAGAACGTTTTATGGTAGACCGATGATAAATAGTCACCATTTCGGACAGCTTCAAGGTCTTAGATAGCCTGAAATAAATTATCAGTTCCAAGCCATAGATTGACTCATGGCACAGTGACTGGATTTCGTCATTATCTGGTTTTACTAGTAAGCACTTGCACCAATAAGATCCTTGTTCTATACAATTGTCAAAGTATCAAACAAAAAGGAGTAGTACATGTTGGGTTCCAGACACGAGATACGACCTTGTTGTGAGCTAGAAGGTACTTCATCTTTGTTCACCTTAAGCAGACCATAATCATCAATATGGACCACAAACATTGTTGACATACACTGAGGAGAATCTGTAGGATTTAATTTGTCCTACAGATATATTACTAGAACCGTAAAAGTGATACTGAGGAACACAGAGTATACGGGAAAGCTGTAGTCAAGACAAAGACAACCTGGCTTTAAACCTTATCTGTCTCTAAACGTAAAAACAATTAGATTAGTGCAATAATTAAAGGAATTTAAGTCATTACGTGAAAAAAAACCTACCAACCAGTACTGCGCGTCATATGGTAATGAATAAAATTATGAGTCACATTATTATAATGGGATGATAATGTCCTTCAATCGGTAGGTCACATTCAGCAGAGATAGTTTACAGTTACATCATACGAGATCAACGTGGTGGATGAGTCGATGAAATTCATAGTAGACAAAAATAAAAATTCTCTTTTCTAAACACAAACAGCATTATAAATTATCGAGATATTGGTTTACAGATTGTTAATTTCAAAGGACACAAAAGTTCGGTTATAACTCAACTCGCGGTCACTAAGATATTAATGACGATAAAACTACGACAGTATTCTAAATAGCTTCACATTCAGTTTAGTGATTGATTAGCTACTATAATTATCGTACCAAATGTTAATTACAAGCTGGGGCATGTGGATTCTGAATAGCACAAATGAAACGTCAAATACTCATCTCTTCTTGGAAGGAAATTCAAAGCGAAATTCTTTGGTAAGGAACAGACCTAGTTGGCTGCAATTAAACGCAACTCAATTTCGTAAATGTGCCCTTCAGCTTAGCAACCAATCAGAATGTGGCGGGAATTATTATATCAGCCATCTTTGTACGTAATGGCGGTCGGCTATCTTCGCTCTGTGCTTCTTTTAGCTATTTCTTTTGTGTAGCTATGTAATTAATGTTTCAATGTGCTAAGATGCCGCAGTTAGTGTAATGTTCTACATGTTGGTGTGAAATTTACTTCGAATCAGCATTGTTTTTTGGGTTTTTGCTGCTTCTACTCTAGTCAATGTATTTCTTCAGTCAAGTTGGTTAGTCTTATGTTTTAAAATGAAAATCGGTTTTGTTTTGACTTGTTTTCTAGATATCCAAAGCCGAAGTTCGTTTTTTCTTAGCTGAAATAACTGTTGCTGCCTCCTGTGACTAACTGTCCGCGTGTTCATTCCTAACTGTCCTTTATGATGTTATCGGCAAAATGAAAGGGAACAATTTCCGGTTTTTAATTTTCTTCAGTATTGCGGACAACAATATCCCACCAACGAGTCAAACTAATACTTAGTGCCTAGCCGTAGGGGATGTCAGTATTGTTTTCGAAAGTACCCAGGCTTCCGACAACCACAGATGCTACCAATCTATTGCAGAGGGTTTGTTATGAAAAAATATGCCACATAGCAGTAATGGAGGGGTTGTACGCATTACGTAGTGCGTTAAAGCAAGCTTAACATTGAAAAGCCGGAAATCTGCTATCAGTGTGTAGTGTATGTTTGCTGTTTTGGCCACAAAAGGAAGACGAAGGGTCATGATCAGGGAGTAAAAAGGTAACTAACTGTTATTAAGCTCAGCTTTTTATAGACCATAATTCACCACTCGCAAATTTGTTAGTTTTACGGTATGATGTCAACCGTTATCTAATATGTTCACCTTTACGATGAAAAGTACTTGCAAATTCTCAACTTCATATTCGAATTAATTTGTGACAACTGTCTTCCAGTTTGAGTGCTTTGTACGCCCTGGGAGACTAGATTCCTACATTATTCACAGTTCCAGGATAACTTTCTCACGCAGTAAGTTCAAAGTAAACACTAGTCTTTCTAAATAAGCATGTTAAGCTAATATCCGTATTCTCTATTTCAGATGATCGATGAAGACATGTACCACGTGCATCTGTTGTATATTGTTATTTTACTCCAATTCTTACTGTTATATCTTCTGAAAAATAGAATTGCTATATGCAGCAAATACAGACTTATTGTTTTGATGGTGGTAGGGGGGTTCATGGGTTTTTTAGCAGGACTGTAGTAATATTCCCATTGAAGAGCTAAGTGAGTGCGTAGACCAATGTAAAGTACCATACAGGGTGCCTTTGAATTACTCGTGTTCCATTAGTGTCGGTAGAAGCATTACTTGCTTATCATATGACATTTGAATAAGGAGCTATGAGATTAGATGCAGGGACGGTTAGGATATGTAACGCGTGTCCATCCATCAGTTTTCGTGGCAACTCACGGTGGCTAGAATAAGTTGTGAGAGGACCCGAGCCTGTAGGTTTCCTAAGAAAGTGACGAAGATGTGCACCAAATCACCTTATGAAGAGCGCCTCCAATCACTTAACCTCTACTCATTAAAGTATAGACGTCTTAGAGGTGACCTATTTACTTACAGGATCCTTAACACTTCTGGACATTTTCTTAAACACCTATTTGAGCTTAGTCCCAGAAACTAGAGACACGACATAGCAGAATGGACTGTAGACGCAACTTCTACTCCTTAAGAGTTGTCGAATGCTGGAATTCGCTGCCCGCCGAACTAGTCCAAGCGACTTCCCAGGAGTTCTTTGGGAGGCGACTGGATCTTTTATTGTTAACATACCTAGGTTCCTGCTTGGAGGTTTTGGTGATCCCCTGCTAATAGACACGGAAGCCTGAACACATGAATTAGGTGATGAGAGGCTCGATTATCACAAGTTTCTTGCAACGATTAAGTAGATAAAACAAAGTAGCATTAGGTTCAAAAATTTATTCCAGAACTTTCATTAAGAATCGAATATGAAACAAAGGTTTAAACCAAGTTCCAGTCCAAAAGTTGCATTTGTAATGTTAAGCTGCAGTTTTTGTTGTTTTTTCCAAACGAAAGGGTAAAAGAAGTAACTCAAAAAGTACTGGAAGTGGTTGTGAGATTAAAATAGACATCCAGCATCCTTTTTATAATCTGCTGTTAGTTGGGTCTCCCGTAAACAGATCTATAGGGCCATAGTTCTAAGGGCGAAACAGTTCTTAACATCTGTGAAGACTCAGTCCTGTTACATTCTAAATGAGAAAACAGTAATGAATTTAGTCAGAAATGTGGAATAGATAAATAACCAAATTACATGTATTTTAGCAAAGAATTTATGCAGTTGTGATTTACCTTTAGTTCATGAATATTAGGTCAGGTCAGCTATTTATTGTGCAAAGCATAACATGCTTTTATTATTTTGCTCTCATTTAAGTATTACCATGTATCTGCATCTAGTTTAACAGGGAGACATACAAGCAGAGTTAGTATTTGATGAAATAAAAGTCCTAGTTGTCAAAAAGATTCTTAACATTTGTCCACAGCCAACTGCATTTAATTGAAATACAGAACACTCATCTTCTAAGACTGTATACTGCTCTTCTACGGGCAAATAAAAGCACAGATACTTAGCTATCCTGCTACCGATGTTATTGCTGGGGAAATGTTTGATGACAGTGATCATGAAATATGGTCAGTGATAGATGTACAATCTAGAAATAAACACCAAACATACTTATCGCTATCTTATAATGTATGACAGCAACAGTACCAAAAGCACTTTTTTCCTATTTTTAATCAGACTGATTTGAATCAGTATACTCATCAGAAACAGGCAACTCTACTTACTAGACTGATCTGTTTCGTTACAGACTTCAAGCACTATACCATAATTCTTTCAACTAAACTGAATTATACGACAACCAAGAATACTAAACTAAGCAAGTGTCATAGTTATTGTTTCATTTGCACAGGCATATTGCTTAAAGTAGTTAAATGGACATAATTAAGACGATAAAACAAAAACACGAAATATAGGCCAATTGAACTTACCGAACAGAAGACAAAGAATATATATATTGCTTTCCGACTGACGACAACAAGCAGTTGTTCATAAAAACATAGTTTATAGTACAATAAACCTTTCTACAGTAAAATCATGCACTGACAGTCTATCTGGAAACAATCAACTATGTGAATAAACTCACTATGACTTGAGATATCATCCCAGTATGCAATGGACGTGCAGTGTAACGCAGTCGAACGTTGCGAATAAAAATATGAAAAAAGATCAAAATTAGCTATATAATTTAGTTATTTAATTAAAAATACATTATGAAATGACAAAATCTGTGGTTACTTGAACGCACAGATGACCGGTACATTAAGTTTACATGGTTGCGTTGCGGATAAGATCACCCACCTAGTTAAATCAGTCTTACGTGACTTTACGCAATCACTTAAAAGAGTAGCGATTCTTGATTTCACAGATGACATTGTAGTTTATTATGATTAAACAATCAATTCTACAATACATAAAGTGATGAAAGACACTGAAATATTATCAATCAAAGAAGAAAGAAGACTCTGTTTTTCAGGTAACAGTATACCATCGATTCTGAGAGAGGTTACGTTGATCAGTTCAAAAGGCAAAAGTCAGACCGTAAAAATTTAAGATGGCAACTGCCTGACTTAAAAACCAAATAAAAATAAAACCGACCTCGTCTGTGAAAATCAAGCAGTCAAGTGAAACATTGAAAACAACCAGAAATTTTACTAATACAATAAGACCGTACTAGCCTAGAATTAAAAATTGCAACGACAACGCGATTTGAAAATTCAAAGTAACAACTCAACACTTTAAGGTAAGATAAAGAATGATTATAACAGAAATTACATGGATCGAGTGCTTTTGTACTAGATACGTACGAAATTATGACTATCCACAGAAAGATCCATTTTTGTTGTTCCAATGTACTGTTGTGTAGTTGACATCTGACTCTAATTCCCGAAGCCATGTGCATTTCGGTCTGCCTTATAAGTAACGACTTTAGAGTCATCGTTAGCCAAGATCATAAAACATCTGCCCACTACAATACGATAGGTGCTAAATGTTCTACAACCCTTCGGTCAATACTACTCCGTTTGGTCTAAATGAAGGTACGAAAAGCCAGTTCATACACAGACATTTTAGAAACGTAAAATCATGACAATTCTTACAAAGGAAAGAGCCAAAATTACCAGTTATACCAATCGTTCCTAAAACATTCATTTTACTGATGTTTGAAGTGGTTATCCCTTATGTATAACACAGGATAGCAAAAGTTTACTGTATAATAACCTACAGAGTATTCTTGGTAATTCTTGTTTATTTCCGTCTATATAAATTTCTACAACCATATATCGCAAACTAAAACAACTCTTGAGCTGACAAACCATAATCATAAATTACCTGTCAGTAGATTTTCTTGATAATGAAACATTGTGCAGAAGTGATTTATGCAAATGGGAAACATTTGTTTTATCTGTCAATGAAGTGATTTAAATTTTCAATATCTATAGCTCGCTGCATAGTTGCAACATTGTTTATATACATAAATGAGGAATTAGAGACCTTCAGTCTGCTAAGCGCTTATAATAAGCTAGTTTTGTCGCTAGTTTTGACGCTAGTTTTTTGTAACGGTGTATGCTAGTAGGTTGGTGTTTAGAAGTTTAGACCATCTGTTCCAATATGTTTCTCGGTTTTTGGGATCATAGGTTAATACCTTTTCGTCACTTGCAACGAAAGTCGTGAACCTCATGTATAGGGTTAGGAAATAACTGCGCGTTATGTTCTTACGTCACACATCTGTCCCCCGGACCTTTAAATTTATTGAAATGAAAGCTGTTCTTTCAGAAATAAAATTCGAATTCCAGGCTGATTCTATACTCTCACATTCCCAAGGTGTTGAAATAATGCATCTCCACATTGGAAAAGTAGCTATACTCGGTGTATTCATTTGAAAATGGAAGCGTCAAAGCCTCTGTTAAATATGAACTCTAGTTTTAGGTTCTCGAATAAATACATCAGCAGTTTATGAGTGCTCTCAGTGGGCTATGCTAGTTATGTATTTATCATTTTCCGGATCGAAGTGTTACGGTGGTACTAGTTTTACTGTGATAACACCGGTCAAATTCAATGTATTAACTCCTCTTCATATTAAGAGTGACTGAATATACTGTCCACAGCCAAACGTGTTACTGAGATGCAGTGAAGGTAATTAGACATATTGGCCAGCACTTATATATGTGTATTGGATGTCTTAATTGTCGCAACCATTTCCTCAGTTGTAATGTATTTATCAACATTACGTGAGCCTGGACATCAGATGCTTTTTACTGCACCATCAAGTTAGATTAGTTAGTTTCATTCAATAACCCTTCTGAATTTGTTATAGTGTTGTTCCAAATAAGCATCAACAAACATTCTTAACTTAGTATAGTAGTGTTCCCTGGTACTTAAGGTGATGATTTATAATGTTAGTTCCGAAGTTCTTATCCATTCGCTTAAAATGTTTTGTAGCAGGTTTATTTTACAAACATCATAAACTTTTCTTATTTTTCTCTAAACTACAATCGATTTCTTTATATCATAACATTGCGACACTATTGTCTTTTGCCATTTCTACGTGATATCACGTGTGCCAAATGATACACCGGTAGTATATCTTCATACACTTTGTTTTATAAATTAATTGTTTTATCTACCAAGCCTTCGTTACTCATAATGTAATTGCTGATGAATCCTATGCATATTTCAAACAACTCACTCAGTAAACATAGGGTCTTGTGATATCCTTTGTGAATGTATATCCGTAAGTTTGCTTATACTATAGTTCTCTCAAGGGAAAAATGACAGACTAAATTCGGAATCTCCCATTGCATAAAATTAATTTATGTTAAAACCAAGTAATTTAAAACAACAAACCACTGATAGTACCCTCCTTTGCCCGGACTTGGAACCTGTAGTAACTCGGGGGTTGTGAGTAGCTGGTAAAATCTAAAAGCAGCCATTAATTGCATCAGTGTAAGTTTATGGGATAAATAAATTGTGCATGTAATTTTAGAGTAATGATTTACTATTGTGTTGTATTCAATTATGTCAGTGTAAATGTTCTGAATATTAATTGTGATTCTTTTGTTTTTCCTCAGTCAAGTAACTGTCGTCTATCAATGAGGTTAAATTTAATTTTGTTAAAAGTGAAACGGTGAAAATAATTTTAAAAAACCATGTCAACCGCAAGTTCACATCCATATAGTAATCTCAGTTTAACGACCGATCCCCTTGCTACATTAATGAAGCCTGATATTATTTCAATGTCAAAAAATAGCCAAGTTATAAACGGTGGCGGTGGTGATTTAACATCATCATCTTCTACCACATCATTAAATCGTACAAATCCCTCCATAAATTCACTGAATGTTAGTAGTCATACATTGGATAAAGTAAAAGTTGCGAAAGTTACATTGGAATATTACTACGACAATTTAATTGTTCAATATCGAGAACGTCAAAATAGGTGAGTTCATTTTAGGGTAGTATTTAGGAGTAAATTCATACATTGTAACAATCAGTTAAGTAGATTTACTACTCAATGGTCCGTTTTTTCATTTTTCATTCACTTGATCAATAGTTTAAACGCCATTCCACCTTGTGTTGAAGCGATTATGAAGAATTACAAGCCACCATGGAATAAGTGTAACGTTTAGCCTAAAATATCAACTTACATGTAATTAATGAATTTGATTATGCATCTACTATGAATTCGGGTGTTATGTGTAGATAAATAAGATAACAGAAATGACTATTCCATTACGACAACTATATTAGTACATGTTATTTTGTTTCTAAGGTATTAATTTTATACATAGGGGTGTTAATATGGTGTCTGTTTAATTCCCTAAATTAGTGAACTTTGAAAAAGTATACTGAATGTTACCATCATTATGCTGTCATAATTAAGCTGATCTTAGGCTTATCTAGATGAAATGTTTGTTCACTTTACAGTTAAGGCTTATGGACTTTAGTTACTGAGTCTAAAACCCTGTAAGATTGATATATTCACACTGATTGATCATAAACCAGTTACTGATATCATGTTCCTAACGATCTGGCCGCAATGCGGCCACCAGTCTAAGTGGCTGGTTGTTGTAATAATATAATGGGATTAAAAAGCGAAACTACATTCTTTTACTCATTTTTCGTTCAAGATACGATATTGTTGTATTAAATTAACATGGACTATGCTCAGCATGACACTCAGCATTTGATTTGTTATAACTAAGTATTTTTTTTGTGTGTGTGTGACTTCATCCTAATTATTAATGAAAATTGGTGTACAAATCGATATATGAATGAGTATATTTTCGACTACGGTCGTCGTCGTGCTTTAGGGTTAATAAGTTTTCACTTGTACCAGTCTTTGTGTTCTTACTTTCTTGTCGTGGGAATTGTACTGGTTACATGTTTTACAGGCATAAATGACAAGCGATTCCGACATAATTCGCAACGACTAGATATAACACTTGGTGTACTTTGACGTTATATTGTTATTCATCATTGTACTGACAAACCGTTATCCTAACGATGTTCACATAAAGCGTTTAAAGTCTAAAAGGAGTCAAATTTTGTTTTGTGTGGAAAGTCTACTCTACTGAATCTGTCGGTTGTCTGTTTGTGTCTATTAGTCACTAAGATGTAGAAACACTATTGAAGTAATTTCTTTGTGGTAAAAAATAAAATGTTGTTACGGTCCAAGATGTTTTATCCTATGAAAATGATCTATGCCTTGCATATTTTTAAAAACCGAATCCCTTCAACCCACCTCTAAAGACTCTAGTCATGTATATATGAATCGTCTGACTGCTATTTAAATTTCAATGTGACCAAATTACATAGGCCTGTGTAACTTGTTTACATTTGGATTATATAACGCTCCCTTATGTCTCTAAAATCACTTGGAGAAGCCTGACATTCTTAAACTTTAAATGCTATGGAATATTAAGTGCTAATGTTCAATTAATTAGCTATTATGAAACGAGGAAGAGCACCTGGTTCAAATGGATTGGCTACAGAAGTCTTTAAGGATGATGGTCCAGTTTTAGCAATTAGGTTGACTAAAATCTTCGAGTTTGACGTAATCTCATCTTACTGGTTGTCCTAATTTGTAAGGTGTCAAAATCATCCTCTGATAACCATAGAGGGGTTAGTTTGACTAATATAGCATCTAAGTTACTGACCTCAATAATTATTGGACGCCTAACAAAGACTCATGAACTGCAAACACAAGCAAATCAGGCTGGCTCCAGACTTGGTCGTGACTGTATCGACCATATATTCACCATTCGTCAGGTTTCAGGACACAGGCATGCTTATCGGACTCCGACAATGATAGTTTTTCTTGACTTAAAAGCAGCATTTGATTCGGTAGACCGAGAGGTTCTGTGGCAGTGTCCGTTATTGAAAGACGTACCTCAGAAGTACAAAAACATTTTGAAGGCTGTTTACTCGAACACAACCAGTCAATTCAGAGCCTATGGTGATCTGCTGTCTGATTTTGCAACCTCAAGTGGTGTCCGTCAAGGCTGTTCACTATCTCCATTCTTGTTCAATTTCATCATAAACCTGCTGCTAGAAATCACGTTCTCGCCGACTGAATTTTCGGGAATCGATCTCTCAGGAGGTCCACTTATGCAGATGATATAGTCGTGTTTAATGAAAAAGCTGGTAAAATGCAGTGTTTTGGTAGAACTGAGAAACAATACCAGGCTGTTTGAAATGCGTTTTTTCCCCCTCTAAATGCAAGTTGTTACTGCAAGACTGGCTTGCATCAACACCTGAACTAAGGATAGTGGGTGAAGTAGTCGAACACGTTGGCAACTTCACTTATCTTGGAAGTTTGATCAGCCCTAATAGATTGGTGTCTGACGAAATCTCAGCATGGATTCGAAAAGCTTATTTGGCTTTTGCTAATTTACGTCACCTATGGCGAAGGCGAGATATCTATCTATCAATGAATGGACGAGTATATTGCGCATCAGTTCGTGCTGTTTCACTTTGCTGTTGTGGAACCCGGTCATTAAGGGTAAAAAATACTTGTAAGTTACTAGTATTTGATCATAGATGTCAGAAATATTGCTAGCATCTGCTGAGATCACTGGCTAAGTAATAGTGAAGTTAGATCCAAGGTATTAGGAAATGATGGTAAATCAGTTGATGAGGTTGTGAATTTCCACTTACTTAGATAGTTGGGCCGTGTTACGTATGCCTGAACACCGATTACCACGACGCGTTATGCTGACTAGTGTCGGAGATAGATGGTAGAAAGTTAGGGGCACCAAACCAAGACGTAGCATCAGTGCTTGAAGTCACTGACTTTCTAGTCTTAGCCATGTTGGTAGATGCAGACTACTTGGTTGGGGTCCGTGTGACTATCGTAACCAATTGTTGGAGACTGGGTGATATGGCTCAGAATCGATCACAGTGGCGGTGTATACACTCTTTGTTTTCTCTTAAGCCGTGAGATTAGAATTACTATATACCTTTCTTTCTACGAACTAATTACTTCTTATATCATATGTATTCAGTTTGTTTTTATATATTATTACTATTGGAGTAACTACTTTATGAATTTGGTGTTCGTTTTGTTGTGCTAATGAGGTGTGGCAACTTGGACCGATGCATATATGTGCTTGGTCTTATGTTGTAGCTGACTGACTTAATTGACCGACATGTCCTCATCAGCACTAAATGTCCCTCTAGTAATTTTGTTACATGTCAGCCAATGGTCTCTAAATTCGGTTTTGTTTTCTGCTTAAAATCTGGTTATTAAGTGTTTTTATCAACATATCCTTTTGTAAATTTAGAACAACATATACAAGCGAACAATATTGTTTTCGATTAGATCCTCATCAGGCTCTACTCTAATATACAGTTATATTTATATGCATATACGAAATTATTAAACCAATCAAGGTAGTTTATAAGTCAATGATCCTTTTGTGATTTTCTATCACTTTAATCATGACAACTATGGATTCAGTTTTTACTTCCGCATAGTGTCATCATTTCATCCAACACATATTTCTGCCCCTACTCATACTGCTCCAAAGGTTCACTGTCTTAGATACAAATCTATTTAACAAATGCTAATGATCAATATCACCATCTCATAAAGTAAAGATTCAGATACTTGTCAATGAGCCATAATTTCTTGGTGAACATTATGATACTGTCCTAATGTCTTTTTTCTTTCATAAGTGAAATGAGATTAGAACTACCAACCCAATAGGCGGTTAATACAACTGGTTTTCATGTTAGTGCAATACTTATCATGGAAAATGCTTTTTTCTGCTCTCAATACAATACTGTTAATATTTCTTTTTTATTCATTATTTCTTACTGACAGGTACAAAATTTTAGAGTCAATGATGGAAAGTGAAGGCTTAACAGAAGAACAAGTAGGCATTTTTTGTTTTATAAAATTCTTATTATATACCAGCATTTACTGATAACAAAGCTTTATTTTTTACCTGATAAAATATGAGGTTTCATCAAAGGAATAAAATATTCTACCTGCTGCGTTCTATATGGCATTCTATAGTTTGTTTTCAAATACGTATCAATCTGTTCTTGATTTTATCTACAATTTTGGCCCAATACTTTAAATAATCATATTTGTTTCAATAAATATATGTGTTGATGGTAGTTTGTTATGATTATAACTTACTACGATATATTGATCTTCATTTAACAGTCTCGAATGATCACTAGCATAACTTTCATCTGAAATCTTTTAAAAATTCATATATTTGAAGATGATACCTTGTGTGTTGTCCTTCAATTGGTTTTCCCTTCGTTTTTATTTTATCAGACTTGACCAGTTCGCTGATTTTCGATTGTATATCAAATAGCTTCTGATTTAGCAGTCAAACATTTTATCTCTCCGAACAAGATTTCATTTAACTCACGTTAATAATTTTAAATTAAGAAAACACGAGTTATCATGTTCAATCAAACTGGAATCAATGTCATTTATTAACAATGAATTTCAATTTAAAGATGATAAATCTGTTCACACTTGTAGTTTCTGTCTACGATGAACCTACATAACGCTAGCAGCATATAAATTAAATGTGACCTTTAATTTTGATTACTGATCGTATAAAAGTTTCAATGAAATAATAGTTTAAATTTCGAAGACTGGTTTGTGGGTTTAACTCGAGTTTCACCTACAATCTTGTTTAGGAAGCTAGACAGTACTATTATTAGCACTACTATAAAAAGCGTACCTCAAAAATAAGCTCTAGAAGCTGTGATCGGTTATTGAGTTTCATTAATTCAGTCGAATGTATTTATATTTTTCTAAGATTTTACCGAATCACCTATGGTATCCTATTCCGGATAAATGTTATATTTCAACAATTGTTTTTATTATCAAATATAGTTGCTTGAAAAATTACCTGGATCCATATATATATATATATATATATATATATATATATATATATATATATATATATATATATATATATATATATATATATATTTACAGTTAAACAACCCAGTATATCTTTATCGTTATTCCTACTTTGTTTTCATACAGAAAAAAAAACTCAAGATATCTATCGAAGAAGAAGAAGTTGTGCTCACATGTTTTTGTATTTGTGTTTATTAGTAAACAACTAAATGGCCTAACATAATCACAACATGTAGAGATTTTTGTGTTCGCCTGAATAAAAATTGATATAAGTATCTACACAATTTATATTGATTCATAGTTTAATCCACAGAGTATTTATTAACTAAATCAATGAGAATATTCATTACGATTGGGTAAATTAGAATGTTGAGCATAGCACATTATCGAATTTTAAACGAAATAAGAGGAATAATATATAAGAGTTCAGAATAATTATAGACTAAAGGTTATTGAAATCCGTCATGTATAAACAGTTTCCAACTGTCATAAAGTGTATTGTGATAATGTTTTAAAGTATTAGTTGTAATATAAACTACAAGTCACTTCGTTTCGATGAACCTGTGAAATCTCGGGCAAGCATTAAACCTGATAGTTAAATCTTGATTTTGTTGGCATTGTATGAACTCACGAAATTCATATGTTTTAATCCTTTATCTTTTAACTAACTTTTAATCATCAGTTTTATATTCGATACTAAGTGTGTGTGCTCGTTAGTCTTTTGTAATCAAGCATCTTTGTTTCCTTTCAAGGCTTAGAATGTTCAACTGTTACCTTGTTCAAATATTACTGCACTGGACTTACGATTTTTGTTGTTCATGTCATATAAGCTACCATGTGACCTCTAAAAATTCGAGTAGGATTGATCTAGTCTTTAAACATCAGTTTTCGGTTACTTTGTATGTATATGCTGATATATTATGACGTAATTCCACGGAATAATGTTGTAACGAGTTTACGTCTGTCAATTTCCCTAAGTGAAATTTGGGAAATCTTGATACTCATATCGATTCAGACATAAGTCCTAATTGAAGTCAGTGTTAATCATTCGTAGTTTTTTTTCATCATGAATAATCACTATCAACGAAGGTTTAATTAGTCTTACATGGCTAACTCTTCATTCATATCATTGCTACAGTGGTGTAGGAACGTGAAACGATAGAAATATATACTAAGTTCTACGTTGCTGCCTGTCTTATGTTATTATTGCATCGCGCCTCACTTTTATTTTCCTAATATCATTCTAGCACTTCCTTGCACATATCTTTTAGTGCTATATGATTAACGTAAAATTGAATGACATATTTGTCTATATAAATATTTATTCTTCTGTATTAGACAGTTAAATCTAACCAATTATTTCCAAGTCGAAAAAATTTGTATTTTGCTCACTTTAGAGTTACATGTGTTGTTTTTTTTACTTAACTATATTGGCACTGTTAATGTTGATTGGTTGTCCCCGTCGATAAACTCGCTATTTTTTAGGTTGTTTGTGGATTTTTATTATTTTTATAAACACCAGTTCAGATTACTTGATATACTACTAGCGTATAAAAATGTATGCTTACAACTTATGTTTCCTGTAAAGTGGTGGTTGGCGGTAGTCGACAGGAAACCCCAGACATAGGCTTCGTGGAATTCGACCCTCATCAGTAATGTGTACTTGTAATGTTAAAGGAACTGATGCTCCCTGATGGATACAGTCCCACGTAACCCAGCTTCACAATCAGAGATGCTACCACTGAGCTATCTGGGGTGCGACTGACCTCCTGCAAGATTATGATGTATTTACAATTGATTGATGTCGAGTCACATAGAAGTGGCTATATTACATCTTGGTTTATAAAATTCAACCTCCACGAAGAAGGACCTGACTCACATGTCATTGGTCACTACTTACTACCCACTGTTCAATCAATTGTAAATGTTTTCGCTATGCTAGGCTTGATTCTTCACAATCGTATTTGTTACAGCAGAGGCCATAATCTATAGAAGTATCATGAAGTCCCAGCAATAATAATGAGCCACTGAGACAAAATAAGATGATCAGGATTTTGTAATTTATATTATCCAACCTTACGGGTTTCTCATAAACACAAACATAAATCGCATTTTCTTCTCGATTTGATAATGTCTCTATGTAAATTTGTTATTTCCGTACAAACATGTTTCTCTATCAAATGATTTATATAGATTATAGTAAATTCATTTTTTATTTACTTTGAAAAATATGAAACAAAGTAAAAACTAGGCAGAAAAAAGTCATCTTATATTGGTTGTTTGAATCGTCATATCGACGTTCAGGACTTTAATTTATCAATTTCTTATTGGCATATGTGCATCCCGTGTAGATCGTCTCGATACTGTCTTAAGTCACAAGCATTATAAGTACACGTTGCACAGGATGCGCATATGACCATAAGAGACTGATCGATTTTAGTTATAAACATCAATGAGAATATTCGAATAACCAATACAAGATTAGTTAAACTTCACCCCATCGCACAAGCCTGTTGCTATATATATTCCGTAACTAAGTAAATAATGTGATGGCAATATCTGAAGAGTAGTGTGCTTTTCATTAAAGCTGGCGTACACTATTAATTTACGAAACGTTATAGTTAGGGAGCATGTGAACGTATAAAGCTAGTAGAAATGACCGATGTATTTTATTTTAAGGTATTGCTAGATTAATGTTGGCTGTGATCGTTATGATACAACTAGCAATATGAACAACACATATATCATTTAGTTACCCACATCTGTACTGAATCTAATATAAATGGGGAATCGTAGTTTTAATACTGCAGCACCAACGTCCCTCAACCATATATCGAATAATTCGATAGAAATCAGGAATTTCCTGTAGTTTTAAAGTTCACTTTGAAATAATACAAATTCTCACTTAAAAAGTTTAGGTAGCAATTTACGAAAAGAAAATACTTTGTTCATATTGATATTCTGTATACATCAACAAGTTTTCAGTCATTTATCATGTCGAAATGTTTGTTACAACTCGTCTATTCCAACTGAATCTTATAATATTTCAAACCTTTTTTTTAAATTTGGCTAAAGTTACTTAATATGATCAAATAAAGTCTAAATTTACCGAACACAATAGTTGAATCCTAGAAATTAGAAATCGTTTTTTGTTAGGTTAGAGATATGTATGTTTGATAATTAAACATTTAAATATATTTTCTTTTTGATTGTTTCTTATCTTGTACCACAATCGAATAAACAATACAGTGAATAATTAAGAAAGTCAGTTAAATGAAGTAAATAAACAAAACTACAATGTTTATAAAGGAACTATATTTTCTTTGGAATTGTCAAGATAATTTCTTAATTTGTTTTAACAAGCATCATTTATCTGACTCCACTGTTCCAACTCTATCATATCAATAATTAGTAAATAAATAAACGAACTGGATGGAATTTTATCTTTTCTCGTTGTTTAAAATGGTTGTTGCTTCTTATCTTGCATGTCAATAACATTTGTGTTTACACTCATATCTTGTTGAATACAATGTTTTCTAGAAACAAATCAAACGTACACAACATGCTCTCAAAGAAAGTGAATTTCTCCGACTTAAACGAGCACGACTCACAGTTGATGATTTTCTACCTCTTAAAATAATTGGTAAAGGAGCATTTGGTGAAGTAAGTTTTTTTTGCATGTGATTCTTTCTTTATGTGTGTGTATTTATATGAATATACAAATTCCTTTTATCCAATTGACTAATGATGTGGGAAGCGGTTTGAAATCTTAAAATTCAACTACATTCGGAAACATTTAGTATAACGTTTGATGTAAGAAAAATACATAAGTGACGTTTATGATAACATGTGGTTAGGGTGATACTACTTTTGCTGATATAAGTAGTAGTTGTTGTATGCTTCCCCTTGAATCCAACATCGTCATTGGACCATATAGTTCTTTCTTTGTTTAAATTTATCGCCGATCAAAAATGAAAAAGTTCGTTACTCATTCGACTTTCATCAGTATTTTTTATAATTCATTAGAAAATGAAAACAGGAATTATAATTATTTATTTTTACATTGATTGTTTGTATCTTCCCATTGACGTTCAGGACATTCAGTCTCTCATTGGTATATATGCATCTTGTGCGTATTGCCTCGATATTACTTTATGTGATTAACGTAATGTGCAGAGATGGATGGCAGCTATCAGTGGAATCCACAACGCTCATTTCGTCCCGTTCGGGATTCGTCAGTTGGATATACCTGTACCAGCCTGTGAGTCCCAAATAAGACGAGATGCGCGTTCTGGATTCCACTGCTAGCCACCATTCATATTTTCTTATAATTAATAATAATAATAATACTCATAATTAATGGATGAGAATTTTTATCAATTGTAGTCTAAATGATAAATATATTTCTAAACTATAAAATACTAAACTACAATTTAACATTTTCACTTGTGTTTACGTAAATGTTTACCTTTTCCTCCTCTTTTTATTTTTCTTATCTTAATTGTAAATTGATTGATTTCATTGAAATGTTGAGCAGTTAAAAAAATCGATTTGTTTATTTTAATGTAACCTGTTTTATGACAAGATCGTGTATATTTGTTGTTGTATGAGTTAATTTATGTGTGTGTGTGTGTGTGTATGTGTTTATCAGATTGGGAAACATATACTGATAAAAGGGTATAGAATTTACAATAGGTTTATGAATTCTTTTAAATGATTAGAAAGGTCATTCATTCATCAAATAATAAATTTCTTTACTTATTTTAATACACATAAGATAACAATGATATCATATATTGTTTGTTGCTTTCTAAAGTATACATTCTATTTTTCTGTGTGTTTTGGTCAACATTTTTTACGAATAATGATTTATTGACATCACTATTAAAATTCATGATTCATACTTAGTCTTATTATGTAACCACTAATTGTTAGACTTGACCACATTGGTAGGTACAGAGATCTAGATTAGAATAATCTTAACTTCTATGTTTTGTAATGTTAAATAATGTGACCTAGAATTAATCAACATAATACAATTATGTTCATTCCTAATGTTTTAAAACTTGGTATTAGGATCATTCTATATATTTGAATGAATATAAAGAATAGATACATCTTTACCTCGCTGAAGTTTATGGAAATATTGATTGTGTATTGACTACACCATCCGCATTTAAACCATTTAGTTCTATGTTTAATTTCCACTCAAGATGACTCTTCAGACTCGTAAATAAATTTTTGCAGCTTAGTCAGTTTTTCTGTTCGAATTTGTAACCTCAGGTTACCGATTTAGTAGACTGACTGATTAACTGTCCTAGATGTGTTCATCAATTCAAATCACAATATCAGTCGATAAAAATAATCCAAAACGTCTCTCATCAATAGTTCATTCTGATTTATAAAGGTTATTTGACTAATATAGACTTAAACTGATAAGCCTAAGTAATCTAGAAGGTTTTTATTTTTAAATAGATATTTTCCTCATCGGACCATAATATTAGATTGGATATTGGGTCTACAAACATTTATACCTAAGGAGGTTAATCAATAAAAACTAATTCTGAACAATACATATTCAAACAGGTAACACTGGAGTGGATTGTAGTTCCCATCCACTTTTAATAAAACCACATTGTAATGATTAGCCGAAAGAGCATATCCTTACTCCCAGTTTAACTTACAATAATGTTAATAATGTATGTACCCCCTTCGTATTACCTTTTCCATATCCACGCGTTATATGGTAAACATTCCAGCTATTTGGTTAAAAGTTATACCTTTGATTGAAACTTCGTGTGTAAAATACCATTGATATTGCCGAAGCAGATTAATGGACATAACTTATAAAGTTTTGATTACTATTGATGATAGTTATAATCTACGACACTTGAATCCATCTAAATCAATCTTAAGTGATGACTAATTTTATTGTGTTTTTTTCTCTATATTTTGAATTCTCTATCTTTTATCAAGAAATCTAGTTGTTTTTTTTTTGTATCACGTATATATATATTATAGTTATGCGAATACATTATTATATCTCTGTGTGCATGTGTACATAGGAAAATACCTATGAGCCTAGATATACTTAGATACTTTTACAAATCTTGATAAATAATTTAATTAGATTTTCTAATTCAAAAAATAGAATGATTCATCAAACACTTGTTTTATGAACCCCTTGTGTATCTATGTATTTTAATTTAGTTATTTATTTGTCTATTTGACAATTCTCTTGAAATAATGTACAAAATATATGTTGGATGATACATTTAGACAAAAAAATGTTTGGACGAAATTCAAACAAGACAAAAATATTATCGTATTACTTCATGGTTAATTCTTTTCTCGAATGATCATTTTATTTAGGTTAGATATAACCTAAATTATGCTAAACTGTATACACATGAAAAGATAATGAAATATGTGTTATATTGAATAATCTCAGACTACATAAACTGTAAATGTCATGTTTACATGTTGATTCATCGGTAGTTTTGTAATTACAATTTTTCGTTTGTTTCTTCATTACAATAAAGTGATTGGGTTGATTTCGACACAAAAATCAATTGCGTATATATTAGAATACTACAAATGATCTCGGTGATTTAATAAATGGATAATATTTTTAGCATGTTGAATCCCAGTATCCTTTGGAATATTTAACGTTATGGAATATATAAGAGTAAATAAATCGGAATGATGTTGATGGAAGTGGTGAACCCTTAAGCATATGTTCCGTAAGGAGTTGATGACATTGACGAGTAAAAAGTGCGAAATAATATTGTAAATCAAGATTTACGGACAAGTTTGAATAAAAAATCAATGTGGGATCGGTTCGAAAGTCTTTCACCAAAGTTTTTTGTGAGAAGTTCCAAAATGTTTCTCGGAAAATCCGTAATGGCTCAGAAAATTTTCAAAAACCATTTATCTGATCAGCGTTAAGTATTAGCTTCTTATTAAACATCCAGAAAGTGAAGAGCCACGTGTCACATTTCTAACTTGTTATTTACCTATACTGATACTCTGTTTCGTATGATTACAGAAGCTCAAGATTTTGTGTAACTCTATTAATACCCTTGATTTACTGTATATAAACTTCGCGCTTTTTCTCCAGTTTTCAAGCTGTCGTATAGATATTTGGTCTAGGTTTATTAGAAGCGGCTAGGAAATTTGATCAAGCGTTCACTTAACAGACATCAGTGTTTAATCTTCAGTACATCATCACCAGCCTTAACCAAAGTCGCTCAGTAAAAACGTGGAAATTCGTACGTACGTACATTAGTTCGGATCGCCATACCACATTAGCACATAGACGCAGTTGTCCATTCAAATCCCATAGTGGTAGAGGTGGTAATAGTATAAGCAGAAATAGGAAAGACCAAGGTTTCAAGATGTTATTCAAGGAGTATAATACAGTGAAATAAATTTGAAAAGAAGAAAAAAGGAACATGAAGTATTCAGAAGACTAGAATTCGGTAGAACACAAAGAATGGATTTACCTGCACCAATTCAAGCGAGTTTGAGCCATGTCATTCGAGGTCTCTAACCATCGGTTGCTATCATCTCGCGGTCTCCAGCCAGGTAGTCTATACCTACCAACATGGCTCGGTCTACTTATCAGTGACTTCATGGATTTGTGCCATGTCTTGGTCTGGCCGCCCCTAGCTTTCTTCCAACCTACTCCTACACCATAAAACATCGCACGTCGGCCTTAACCAAAGCATCGATATTTCTTTTCAACGAATCTGACGTACAATGTACTACATTCAACATAGTTTTCACTGTTTAAAAACCACTAACCTATGGATACCTTACAAAGATAAAAGGTAGATGTGCATCATCTAATCAATTCTGATAATTATTGGAATCTTTTGTTTCGTTGGTCAAATTTAGTTTTCCAATACTCGTGTATATGTATCGTATAGAAACAGGAAATAAGTTGTTTTTGGTACTGACTTATTGAACACTAATTTATGCACGTTTCTATCGTGCTATCTTTAAAAAGACATGACATGACATTTTCTGTAGAGTTAGTCATTGAACAGTAAATTGTTTATTAATATTATTGTTACTATTGTGTCAAATACCACTAATAAAGAGATTGATTATGAATACAGTGGTCCTGAGTGCCGTTTGACATAGGAGTGCGGTTATCACTTCCCGGTTGCCCAAACTGTGGAAGGGCTTTCCAATAGATATCTGAAAAGGAAATTGGGTTAGGGATAGCCTTTGTGAACTGATAGCTTGAACGCACTGCTCGAGGGATAACTGCTTGTCTACGGTCATACGACCTTTTTGTGAGTAGTTTTCGTGTTAGCTCCGTACGTGTTGAGACCTTACCGCCAGAGACGAGGTGTGCATTTTTAGAGTTGATCTTTTCTAACCCCACCCTTCCTCGTCGGCAGGCAGCATCTCGGTTATGCTGATTGTCTGAAGGAAACATCTTAATGTCGTCACACCTCTATACAGTCGGCAGTATAACTTCGCCCTCGGACCTTGGGTTTTGCTATTTCTAGTCTTACCTCTCTTCAACCGACCTATCTGTCATGGTAGAACATTGAGGAATGACTGTTCCAGCCAGTATAGCTCGATTACTTCATTGCGATGAGCGAACCCGACCACCACTCCAAGGTATCAGCAACGGTCTAGTAAATACC